CTTTTTTTTTAATGTCACTTTTTAAAAGAGAATCGGGCTGGGCATGGTGACTCATGCCTGTAATCCCAGCACTTGGGAGGCTGTGACAGGTTGATTGCCTGAGGTCAGGAGTTCCAGACCAGCCTGGCCAACACGAGGAAACCCCATCTCTATTAAAAATACAAAAATTGGCTGGGCGCAGTGGCTCAAGCCTGTAATCCCAGCACTTTGGGAGGCCGAGGCAGGTGGATCACGAGGTCAAAAGATCAAGACCATCCTGGTCAACAAGGTGAAACCCCGTCTCTACTAAAAAAATATATAAAAAATTAGCTGGGCATGGTGGCGTGTGCCCGTAGTCCCAACTACTCGGGAGGCTGAGGCAGGAGAATTGCTTGAACCCAGGAGGTGGAGGTTGTGGTGAGCCGAGATCGTGCCATTGCACTCCAGCCTGGGTAACAAGAGCTAAACTCCGTCTCAAAAAAAAAAAAAAAAAAAAAGAAAAAGAAATCTCGGCTGGGCGTGGTGCCTCATGTCTGTAATCCCCACACTTTAGGATACTGACAGAGGACTGCTTCAGCCCAGGAGTTCAAGACCAGACTATGCAACACAGTCAGACCCCCAACTCTACAAAAATAAATATTTCATTAGTCCAAATATGGCAGCGCATGCCTGTGGTCCTAGCTACTCAGAAGCCTGAGGGGGGAAGCTGGCTTTAGCTCAGGAGGTCAAGCCTGCAGTGGGCTGTGATGACGCCACTGGACTCCAGCCTGGGCAACAGAGTGAGACCCTGTCTCTTAACAAAAATAGAAAAAAAAAAAAAAGTCCTGCACAGTGGCTTATGCCTGTAATCCCCGCACTTTGGGGGGATGAGGCAGGCAGATAGATCATTTGAGCTCAGGAGTTTGAGCCCAGCCTGACCAATGTAACACTAAAGACATAAAAATTGGCTGGCATGATGGCACACACCTATAATCCCAGCTACTGGGGTGGCTGAGGCAGAATAATACCTTGAACCTGGGAGGCAGAGGCTGCAGTGAGCCAAGATCGCACCACTGCACTTCAGCCTGGGTGACAAGAGCGAAACTCCATCTCAAGAAACAAAACAAAACTGAGGGAAAATTTGAGTTTAGAATAATGCCAACATTATTAACAGGCAGAACCTTGGATTTGCTGTCCTCTGAAGAACGAAAAGCAAATAACTGAAATATTTGAAAGGTGAAGAACCAAACAGAAGCAGCTTTTTAGAAGTAGGAGAGGGAGCTGTAACTTCTCGTTAGGGGCCTTTCCGCAGATTTTAATGTTGTGCACATATGGTTTTAATCGAAAGTAAAATACATACAAAGAGAAAACCAACCTTCCTTCTAGCACAAGTCCCAGGCCTGCCACCCGCAAGAGTAGAACCACCCTGCCATTCACAAGGCAGCAAACAGTCGATCCCCAGGTAGCTGAAGGGCCTGGCCATGGCACGCCCAAGAGGTGCCCCACCCTGCACGCGGCCTCTCCCCTCTCACCTCACCCTGGCGCCTGGTCTTGGGGGAAGGACTGAAGAAGTTGTGCAGGACGGAGAGCTCTGTGCTGAAGAGCGCGCTCTCCTTCTCCAAGATGTACTGCTTCAGCAGCGGGGAGACCTCGTCCCCAAAGAGGGCCTGATTGTCTTGCCAGATCTGCCTCTTCACCTCCACGGCGCAGGCTCGATACAGCTCCTTGTCAGCCATTACGAGCTTCAGCTTTTTCTCAGGAACCTACGCGGCACCACAGGCTGCCTGTGAGCGGCACCTATGTCCCTGGGTCTCCCTCGAGTCCACTTCAAGCCACGCCCCACTCTACAGGGCACCTATGACTGGGCCCCCAGTCCCAGCAGGTTCAGGCAGACGTGCTAAATACCAACAGGTCTTTCCCAGAAGGGGCCCCACGCCCCAACTCCAGTGCCAAGCTTCAGTCTCCACGCGGCTCACGCGGGAGAGGCCAGCACAGGAGCCACCACGGACAGCACTCAGGCAGGCGGCTCACTGGAACTTCCATCAACCAAGAGCATGAGGGTGGGTGGACGCCCGAGCCAGCAAGGTTTTAGGGTCAGGGTCAGGGTTAGGGTTCTACCTTGGGCAGGTGCTTCATGACACACATCACCACAGGCTGCAGGGACGGCATCTTGACCAGAGAAAAGCTCTTCTCCAGAAGGTCTTCCAGCTTCTTGTACCTGGAACAACTCACACGATTGATGGCGTGGCAATGGGCCGAATCAGAGCAGCTGTCTGCATGTCCCAGTCAGATAACGGCTGCCAGGCCAAGTCTCCACACGCAGAACACGAGAGGCAAGAGGCCGTTCAGACACAGGCCCAGGCCACCTCTGGGAGCAAGGCTGTGCAGCCAGGAGGATGATCAATGTCCAAGTCGATCTTAGGCTGAGAGGCCGACAAGGCTGTGCAGCCAGGAGGACGATCAATGCCCGCCGGGCACATATCGGACCCGCCCACCCACCTTTCCTCAGCCTTCCCCTCCGAAGCGATGGCCGACACCCGCTCCAGCAGCTTGTCTCGCAGCTCATCGAACACCGACTGGTGGAACTCCAGCCGCGGCGTCCCGTGTAGGTCCAAGAAGGGGAGGGCCGACTGGAGAGAGGGCAGCAGCACGCCGTTCTCTGTCTGAGGAAGCAAAAGGTCAGCTGCCGCCCACTGCGCCCGGGCACCCGATGTCCTGCAAGCACAGGGAGGCACGAACCCCAGGGTTCCCGGCCGTGCAGGGGCAGCGGCAGCCACCAGAAGCCACCCAGCCGTCCAGCAAACCGACGCCAGCTCGGGACTCCACCCCCAGAACGGGACTCAGCCACTCGAAGAAAGCCGGGAACTTCCGGCGCCTCCGCCAGGCTCGACTCCCGCGCAGGCGGCCTGGCGGTCGACCCGGGCTGCCCCCGCCTCGAGGCCCGCCCCACCTGGAACTGCTCGATGGCCTTGAGCGGCTCCGTGCAGTTGGTCAGGGTCTCCTTCAGGTCCTCGCCGTTGGCCACGCCCAGGTCCTGCAGCCCCGCGAACATGGCCGAGGCCCCGGCCGCCGCCCGGCTCGGCGCCCCATCCCCAGCCCGCTCCCCCGGCGCCGCCGCAGGCGCCCCAGAAGCCCGCTCCGCCGGGCCTCGGGGGCCCCCCGAGCCCCGCTCCCCCGCGCCCTCCAGCTCGGCCAAGTCCCGCCCGCTTCGCGGCTCCGCGCACACCGCACCGCCCGGGTCCGCCAGCCAACCGGCCCCCGGGAAACACCGCCGCTGCCGCGCGCAGGTTCCTGGGAGCAGCGCCCGCCCCTCGCGCAACAGGCTCCACCTAGCCAGCCCCGCGCGCGTGCGCCCTCCGGTCCCGCGGGCGAGCGTGGGTGGGTGGGAAAGGGGCGCCATTTCAGCCGAGTGGATTTCGTGCGCATAAGCGTGTAAAACGGTCTTGCGGATCTCGCAGCAGCCTCGCGACGCGGGACATGTTGCCCGGGGTTGCGCCCCCAGCCTCTGCGCCGCGCTGGTGTGTGACTCGGGTGCGGCCTCCTCGGCGTAAAACCGGCACGAAGCCCCCACCCCAGCGCTGCGGCGAAGGCTGGGTCTCAGCGCCTTCAGGCGGGGGCCTGGCGGAGACCAGGCGCGCGAACGACGGCCGCCCTCCCCGGCCACGGAGGCGCTGGCACTCGCCAGCCCCGCGGAGCCGTGAGGGAGAGTCCAGGTCCCGCAGCGCCTCTTCTCGTCCCAGGCGGGCTCCCCGGGCCTCCCCGTCGCCCTCCCGCACGCTCTGCCGCGCCAAGCCCGACACATTCTCTCTTTTCTATCTGTGCTGCTGAAATTTTTCTCTACAAATTTCTTTCATGCTGCCCAGCAAACTCTTGCTCTTCCTTGAAGGCTCCCTCTTCCACCACCTCCTCCAGGAAGCCCTCCCTCCTTCGCCCAGCTGGAGGAGATCGCTCCATCCTTCCTGCTGCTCCCGCTTCCAGCTTTGGGTCTCAGAGGTGCCAGGTGGTGCCCGGGTCGCCCCAGCCGTAAGCAGAGCTCCTGTTGCTACGGCCAGGCAACCACAGCTCTATTGCCACTGGAATAGACCCCTAGCTGGTTTGGTGGCAGAGGGGGACAAGGGGCACAGCACATACACAGTCCTAGGCTTGGAGTCCTCTGTGCGAAAGGGGATGGAGCTGACGCCACAGGAGCAGCTGCCCAGAGCCTTTTTGAAGGGGTTGAGCTCTGGACTTGGTCTGGGCCCGGGGTCCGGGAGGTACAGGTGCAGTCACAGTCACAGGGGCGACACGAGCTGCAGGTAAGCCTCCTGCAAGGTACGAGGGCAAGCCCGGCAAAGCTACAGGACCAGCCCTCAGCAGGGGCCCAGAGTCTGGGGCTGTGGCTCAGCCTACAGGGTCCTGGGCCAGTTTCCACAGGTGACTCACCCCAGCTGAAGGCCTAGATGAAGTGGCGCTGGGCCCTAGTGAGCAGGTCCCTGGGCCCCTCCTGAGGGCTGGTCAGGCGACCCCGTCTACTGGTGGCTCAGGGCATTTGTTGCTTCCTTAAAAACCAAGTCAGTTCCCTGGCTCAGCAAGCGGCTGACCCTCAGGTGGACAGCAGCTGGACTGGGCCCCTGAATGGCACGGCTGGGTAGGGGTGTCCCACAGAGCCTCCCATCTCACTCCAGGCTAGAGCTCAGTCAGTGGCACGCTGCCATATAGAGAAAAGAACACCCTTCAGGGCAGCCAAATGGAGACTCCTCAACAGGGAAAGCCAGAAATGACCCAGTGGCAGCCATATCTCCAGGACCGCCCCGGGTGAAGGACAGACAGCTGCACACTTCGGAGCATGGGAGAACCCACAGCATCTCTGTATAGCAGGGTGTGGGCAGATGGGGGCTCCAGGCTGGACTGGCTTTGTCCACAGTCCATAGAAGGGTTGTCCAGCCAGGAGGGTGCACCAGGGGTGCCCAGAGGGTCAGGGGCCAGGCTGGGGCGCCGAGTCCCAAGGGAGGCCTGGGAAAACCCCAGGAGAGGCCAAGGTTCCACTCGTTGGCCGGGCCAAGCTGGCTTTGCCCAGTGGGCTCTAGAGTGTGCAGAAGGGGCCAGCGTCGTGTCTCTTGGGTCTGCACACGCCAGGTGCCGAGGGGAAGCGAGAGTTGTAGCAGTCCTCCACGTGGTAGGCAGCCAGGCCGGGGGTTTGGGCTGGAGAGAGAGAGAGAGAGAGCGAGCCCCACCCAGCTGGCTCAGAGCCCCCACTCACACCTGGCTCCCGGCCCCACCACACTCACCCATGGCCCAGCCCTTGCCCTCCCCTCTCCAGGCCTTACAGCCACTGAGCCAGGTGGGGAACACCGGGGAGTGGCCCATGGAGAAGGCTGGCGGGCGTGGGCTCTGCAGGCAGCTCCCAGGAAGAATGTTGTAGGTGTTGGGGCCAGGGTGCCTCTTGCCAGGTGCCTGCAAAGAGGCCTGGAGCAGGCACTGGGGCTGCTCCTGGAGACCAAACCCCCTGGCCCGAGGCAGCCTGGGGTGGGTGTGGCCCTCAGGTGTCTTGGTGGCAGGGTGGTGGCCCCTGAAGCTGAAGGCGGGCCGAGCGGCTGGTAGTTGGCTGGTGAGGGCCACTGCGAAGCAGCAGGAGACCGTTGCTGCAGGGCAGGGAGCTCCCAGGACCCTCAGTCAGCCCTGCTTTGGTCCCGATGGAAGCCCCAGCCCCCGCCTGCCTGGACTCCCTGCCCCCTTCCTGCCCAGCCCCCACCTTTTGCTTTTGGTTGAAGTTGGCCTTCTGTGTGAAGGGGCTTTCACTCTGGAACCACACTGTCTGCCATACCCTGCACCCACCGCCCTCTATAGTGGGGTGGAAAGGCCTCAGGCTGTGGGGGTACCAGTGCAGAGGCTGAGGCCCCCATTCCCAGGGTGGGGACAGGCCTGGTGGTCGGGCCCCAGGGAGGGAACACACACCTTGGCCCTGGTGTTTGCGGCCAATGCTGTAGTGGGGGTGTGGGGAGGACTCTCGCACAGACGGGCTTGGCAGCTGGTACTTGGCGGGGCTGGGGACGTCCAGGTCAGCTGTGATCGGGGGACGTTGCTCCAGCACTGGCCGCGGGAAGCAAGCTCTGGGCCTGGGATGGTTCCAGCAGGCCCCTCCCACAGCCCCCCAAAGGCCAGCCTGGGGTGGGGGTGGGGCAGCCAGGACCCTCACTCACGCAGCTCCCTCAGGGTCTGGGTGCGGATGGGCAGGGACTTCTCGGGGGCTCCCATCTGTAACCCGAGGCCAGCTGGGCACTCCTTCATTTTTGGGGGCTGTGTCTCATCCCAGGCCAGCCCTGGCTCCAGGCCCAACAATAGCACGGATGCCTTGGGCCTGCACCGGAGACCCCCAGCCACTGTCCTTCAGCCCCTGGCCCTACAGCCCAGCCCCCATACTGTTCCTCAGCCCCTCAGCTGCTCCCGGCTGGCCTGTCCTCCACACTGTCCCTCAGCCCCCTGTCACTCCCAGCCCCCTGCCCCTCAGCCTGCACCCCCCACCACACTGTCCCTCAGCCCTCCACCATTCCCAACAGGCTTGCTCTCCCCCCTCCCCCCCCAAGTTACTGGATGGGCTCTGGCGGCATCGGCCTCAGGGGCCCATGGGTCCAGTGTTTGCCTCCATTGATGTAAAAATTTGCCAGGAATTTCACAGCCTTCTGGTCAAAATTCATCATCAGAGTCTCCTGGCTCTCTTCCCTGAGGGCATCACGGGGCTCTGTGACCTCACTGGTAGGCCCCTCTGTTGCCGGGGTTCCTGGGAAAGACTAGTCCATCCCTAGAGGGGCTGCCCCAGGGTCCCCACTCCCTGTGGCCCCTCCCCCACCAGCTAGATGGTCACTGGTTCTGCCTGGGCCAGGATCTCCAGCCTGCTCAGGTGACTCCTGGCCCAGCCCTCTCTACTCCGGTCCCTGGTAACTTTTCCAACTCCCTCTCCTCTCCTGCACCCTGGGGTCTCCTGGAAGGCTGGGTCCACTCAAGGGGCTTCTGGGAGGACTGAGGCCTTGGTAGAGGGTAGGGTGGGGAGCAGGACCTATGAGCATCAGCCAAGTCCTGTGGAGTCCCCTCTGCGTCAGGCCAGCCAGGGTTCCCTGGGGGTGGGAGGGAGGGAGGGAGGGGTCCAGGAAGGATCCCCGGAGAAGGAGGAGGAGCCACCATCCCACCTGAATTTCCACTTAGGGGAAAAGCAAAGCCACATCAGATGGTCTAACCCCAGAGGAAGGCAGGGCCCTGGAGCCACAGGCAGGGCTGGAGTGTGAGGGCGGCCTCTCACCTGGGGGCACAGAGGCCAGGAGGTGTCACAGACGGCCGAGCTGCAAGGAACAGCCAGACTTAGTGAGCAAGAGCCCAGGGCAGCACCAGGGCTCCCACTCTGTGGCCTCTGGAGCTGACCGCTAGCCGGTCCCAGCCCTGACCTTGGCCCAGAATCCACCAGGGCAGGGCCTGTGAACTGCCTTATCCACAGGCCCAGCTCCCAGCCCTCCTCCACCCTCCCTGACACCTCACCTTCAGCACTGGGCCTGCCCGGCAGACAGACGGACACATGCTTGAGGAAACACAGGTTTTATCTGGGCAGGGGCTCACGCCCTGTGCTCTGGGCCCTGGCCCAGGTCGTGCTGAGTTCAGAGTTGCCTGGCTGCCGCAGAATGTAGCGTGCTTTGCTAATGAAGCTCTTGCCATTGGACAGAGAGGCTCCTCCTGGAATAAACATTACCGCAGGCGTGATTGACAGGGCTGGATGTCTGTCCTTTCCTCCCGAAGGCATGGGGGAAACGCACTTGAGGTGCTCTGTCTGCACCCGCACCACCACAGCCATAGCAGACGGAGGGTTCTGGCTGAGTGTTGGGGACTGTTCCCCACACACCAAGCTGGGAGTCCTCTAATTCACTTCTGTCACTGGCTACCTGGAGACGGTGTCAGATTCCACAGGGTGAGGGCACTGTCGCAAGTCTGGGCCTCTGGAACTCCTGACCAACCAGCTTCACGCTAGGGTTCCCACGACACCCTCTTTGGGTTTAATTTGCCGGAGCCGCTCACAGAACTCAGGGAAACACTCACTGACGGTTGCTGGTTTATTGTAAAGGATACTGATTGCAAAGGATACCAAGGAAGAGACCCGTAGAGAGAGGCGTGGGACAGGTGGAGCTTCCGTGCCCTCCCTGGTCTCCACCCCCTGGGAACCTCCTAATGTCCCTCTGTCCAGTCCTCAGGGGATTTCTCAGCATTCCTGCCCCCAGGGCATAGGATGGGACCTCTCTTGGGAGAGTCTTTTTTTTTTTTTTTTTTTTTTTTTTTTTTTTTTTTGAGATGGAGTTTCGCTCTTGTTGCCCAGACTGGAGTGCAATGGCACGACCTCGGCTCACCGCAACTTCCGCCTCCTGGGATCAGGCAATTCTCCTGCCTCAGCCTCCCGAGTAGCTGGAACTGCAGGCACGCACCACCATGCCCAGCTAATTTTTGCATTTTTTAGTAGAGACGGGGATTCATCTTGTTGACCAGGATGGTCTCGATCTCTTGACCTCGTGATCCACCCGCTTCGTCCTCCCAAAGTGCTGGGATTATAGGCATGAGCCACCGCGCCCGGTAGGGGAGAGTCTTAAGAACCACAATCAGAAAGGCAGATAAAAGAAGGGTAGGAGATCAGAGTCCCCCTTCCACCAGCCACCCAGGCCTCACACACCCAACATTCTAACAAATGTCTGTACCAAGGGCTGTGGGAGTTACCAGCCAGGAACAGTGGAGGGAAACTGTGTCCACCAGAGTGCCAGAAAGCTTCCTGGGGGTGGAAGCCACAGTGAGTGTTAACTTGATATGTACCAAATTGCTTTCCAGGAGGCGTCACTTAAATTAGACGCTCTTCTCACCATGATCCTGCCAGCAGTAAGCCTCCGAAAATGTAATCACATCAGCTTTATGTGATTATGGTCTGACTTTATGCCTGTATACTTACAAACTCTGTGGTCTTTTTTCTTAAAAGGTTCTGCATTTTCCATGGAGATTTGTTTATATCTTTGTTTTGTGAGAGTTTTTTTTTTTTTTTTATAAGACAGAGTTTCATTCCTGTCACCCAGACTTGAGTGCAATGGCATGATCTCAGCTCACTGCAACCTCTGCCTCCTACATTGAAGCGATTCTCCTGCCTCAGCCTCCCCAGTAGCTGCGATTACAGGCTCCCGACACCACATCCGGCTAATTTTTGTATATTTAGTGGAGACAAGGTTTTGTCGTGTTGGCCAGGCTGGTCTCAAACTGCTGACCTCAGTCTCAAACACCCACCTGCCTCAGCCTCCCCAAGTGCTGGGATGAAATGAGCTGCCATGTGAGAGCTTTTCCTGCTGATCTCACATCTATTCATAACACCTGTGGCAAACTTTTTTCCAGTCTTTAGTTTGCCTTTTAGTTTAGTTTTTTTTTTCTTTGTTGAGACGTGGTCTGGTTCTGTCACCCAGGCTGGAGTGCAGTGGTGCAATATCAGCGCACTGAAGCCTCTACCTCCCAGGTTCAGGCCATCCTCCCACCTCATCCTCCCAAGTACCTGGGACCACAGGCACGCTCACCACACCTGGCTAATTTTTCTTTCTTTTTTGTAGAAGCACGGTTTCCCTGTGTTGCCCAGCTGGCTCAAACTTCTGGGCTCAAGCAGTTCACCCACCTCATCCCGCCTCAGCCTCCCAAAGTGCCTGTGGATTATAGGCATGAGCCACAGTGCCCAGCCTTCCCTCCCTTTTTTTTTTTTTTTTTTTTTTTTTGAGACAGAGTTTCGCTCTTGTTACCCAGGCTGGAGTGCAGTGGTGCGATCTCAGCTCACCACAACCTCCACCTCCTGGGTTCAGGCAATTCTCCTGCCTCAGCCTCCCGAGTAGCTGGGACTACAGGCGTGCACCACCATGCCCAGCTAATTTTTGTATTTTTAGTAGAGACGGGGTTTCACCATGTTGACCAGGATGGTCTCGATCTCTTGACCTCGTGATCCACCCGCCTTGTCCTCCCAAAGTGCTGGGATTATAGGCGTGAGCCACCGTGCCCGGCCCTTTTTTTTTTTTTTTGAGACAGTCTCCTTTCACCCAGGCTGGAGTGCAGTGGCGTGATCTCAGCTCACTGCAACCTCCACCTCCCTGGTTCAGGCATGATTCTCCTGCCTCAGCCTCCCAGGTAGCTTTGACTACGACTACAGGCTCCTGCCACCACACCCGGCTAATTTTTGTATTTTTAGTAGAAACGGTTTCACAATGTTGATCAGGCTGGTCTTGAACTCCTGACTTTGGGTGATCCGCCTGCCTTGGCCTCCCAAAGTGCTGGGATCACAGGTGTAAGCCACCGCACCCGGCCACCTTACTTCATTTTTATGGTTAGGAAGTACTTCCTGTAGAAAAGAATAAAATTCAGGATTTGTTTAAAATGTAAGCGCAATGCCCTGCCCTGCATGAAGGGCCCACTGGAGGGAGAGTCGACTCAGCCCTGCAGGTCAGGCAGCCCCTGACCCCAGCCAAGGCTCCGAGGCCCTGCAGTTGCAAGGGCATCCTGTCAGAGGAGGGTTCTGGAGGCTCCCGTCGCCTCACCTGGAGGCAGGGGCTGCTGGTCTCCTGGGGGCCCCAAGAGCTCAGGCCCTTCCTGGAGGGTCAGTCCTGTTTTCTCAGCCCTGAAGTTAATGGGACTTCCTCACAGGCCCCCTGCCTCACTGTGACCCCTCTCCAGACTGGCACATGTCTCGGCCTCTGTGTGTCACCTGTGCAGCGAGGTGCCCACAATGCTGGCCCCTCACAATGGTTGCCCAGCAACGGGACTCCCCTCAGAGAAGGGGACTGGACACCGGAAGGGACGGGAGCCAGCAAGGCCAGAGTGGAAGCAAAATGACAGCGACTCAGAAACACAGCCTCCTCACGCCAGAGCCACACTACATCCCTGGGTAAGACCGGGAGCTCTGGAGGGGCTGAGCCAGGGCTGCAGGAGGGGAGCAGGGCTGGGGCCTGAGGCATGGAAACCAGCGGTGAGGGGCCCAGAGCTGGCCTGGGACACGGGACGCTCAGGGATGGGGCTGCCAGAGGCCCAGCCCTCACCCTCCCTGCTGGTGCACCACTGCAAACACCACGCCAGGTGGCCACACGTCTGCTGATCAGAAACCAGGGCAGCCAAGCAGCGGGTGCAGGCCAGCTAGGAGGTGCCTGATGCCCACTCTGTAGAGAACTCCACACTTTAGTTCCTATTTGTATATAAATATATATAATTTTTTTTTAAGAGACAGGTTTTCACCATATTGGTCAGGCTGGTCTCGAAATCCCAACCTCAGGTGATCCGCTCACCTTGGCCTCCCAAAGTGCTGGGATTGCAGGCGTGAGCCAGTGCACCCAGCCCTTTATGTTTTTTTTAAATTATTTATTAGTTTATTTGAGATGGAGTCTCGTCCTGTCATCCGGGCTGGAGTGCAATGATGTGATCTGGGCTCATTGCAGCCTCCGCCTTTGGGGTTCACACAATTCTCCTTCCTCAGCCTCCTGAGTAGCTGGGATTACAGGTGCACACCACTACACCCAGCTACATTTTCTTGTATTTTTAGTAGAGAGGGGGTTTCATTATGTTGGCCAGATTGGTCTAGAACTCCTGACTTCGTGATCCACCTGCCTTGGCCTCCCAAAGTTCTGGAATTATAGGCGTAAGCCACTGTATAGGTGTGACTCATACTTTATTTATTTTTTATTTTTTTGAGATGAAGTTTCACTCTTGTTGCCCAGGCTGGAGTGCAATGGCATGATCTCAGCTCACCACAAGCTCCGCTTCCCCGTTCATGTGATTCTCCTGCTTCAGCCTCCTGAGTAGCTGGGATTATAGGCATGAGCCTCCATGGCCAGCTAATTTTGTATTTTTAGTAGAGACAGAGTTTCATCATGTTGGTCAGGTTGGTCTTGAACTCCGGACCTCACAGGATCAGCCCGCCTAGGCCTCCCAAAGTGTTGGGATTACAGGTGTGAGCCACCGCTCCGGCCCGTTGGCAATTTTTGAAACAAAGGCAGTTCTCAGTCCTTCAGTGATTATGCAGGCCCTGAGGAGCTGAACCGCCTGCACCACCTGCAACATGCCCCATGGGCCAAATGAAGGCCCCAAAAAGCCTAGCCCCAGCCCTGGTCCTTGTGAGACACCACTGACCTCCTGGGGTGGCAGGGGCAGGCTGAGCCCACCGCACACACTCCTGGCGGGCCCAGCCTGTGTTCAGGGGGCCGCCCCTTGCCTAGGCCCTGGCCCACATGTCCTGCGCCTGAATTTGCTCTGCCAGGGCAGAGAACCCCTGACTCGTTGGCCGTTGGGATGAGGGTTGGGAGGGGTTGGAAGGCTGTCGTAGCCTGTACAAGGCCAGCAGCCATCTGCTGTGGTGCTGCTGACTCGTCCCCAGCATGTGCTGTGCACTGCCTGTTCAGACTACGACAGCCCCAGAAGGCAAGTGCCTCTGCAGTCCCATTTGCAGATAAGCAGAGGGCAGGGGACCTGCCGAGGGCCAAGCCGCTGCTCAGTGGTGGGCAGGCTGGACCCCCGCCTGGCTTGATGGGCCCTGGGCAGCACTGGGCTGCCCTTGAGCCCTGCCCTGCCTCCTCTCTCCCATCACAGCTATGCCGGCTTCTACCCGCAGCTGCGCTTCCAGGTGGGGAACACCTACGGGCGCACCACAGGCCAGCTGCTCACAGACCCCAGCGTGCAGAAGAGCCCCTGTTCTGTGCTGTCCCCCATGTCCAAGCCCAAGTTCATTGAGGACTTCAGCCAGTCCAGGCCTCCCTGGGTTCCCTGCCGAGACCTGACTGAACCCTACGTTCCCCACTACACCAGTGAGCTGCCATCCCCAGCCCCACACCTGCCCGCGCCCGCCTGTCCCGGCACTCACAGGCTGCCCTGTCTACAGGTCTGAAGCCCTACAAGAACTTTGAGATCCGAGGCCAGCTGCCACCCCTGGATGTGGACGCCCAGGAGCCACCAGGGGTAGAGAACATACCCAGACACCTTCTGCTGCCTGCAGGTGTCATGCCCTACCCCCCCCACCCACTGTGCCCACCAGGCAGGAAGGGGGACTCCAGAGACTCGGGATACCCAGGCCTGCGGCTGGCCTTCAGGGAAGAGGCCTGGAGGAACGCCGCCCCTGTCTGTGAGGCCCGAAGGCAGCAGCAGCAGGTACAGGATGCACTGGTCAGTGCCAAGCGCACTCCAGCTCGGCCCTGGATGGGAGCTGCAGGACGACCTCTGCCCTCCCCACTGCAGCTGTACCACTGCCGGAGGGACGAGTACCCACCCCACACTCACCAGCAGGAGACACTAGATGTGTGCAGGTTCCAGCGGCTGCCACAGCTGGACCACCCCAACCTAATCCAACGCAAGGCCATCGCAGGTGGGCGCAGGGCTGGGCTGGACGAGGACGTCCCTCCCCACAAGGTTCCAGGAATGAGGGCCCGTCAGGCTGCCACAAGGGCCGCTTTTCCTGCTCTGGAATGGGTTAGCAGGCTGGGGGGACCTCCTCTGCTTCCTGCTGCTTCCAGGAGTCCAGCTTTTCCCAGAAGGAGGTGCTGTCCTGCCTGCCTCTTCCCATTTGGCCACAGCAGGCAGTCGCCAACATCCAGGAAAGGAAAGAGAGCCTTACGTGGCTTCCCTGATGCGTCTGGGGAGGTGGGTATGGCCAGGGGAAGGTCAAAGGGCCTGAGTAGGACCTGCACAACTGCCCACCCCAGGCTATGCTGGCTTCATTCCCCGGTTCTCCTGGGTAATGGGGGTAAATTACCGAGACGGCGTCGCACAGGCCATGGACGAGTTCGACAAGAGCCAGGTAGGAGAGCGCCGTCCCAGACCTGCTCCCAGCTCACACAACTTCTTCCAGTCTGGCAGCTTCCCTGGAGGGGCCTTGAAGGCCAGGTTCCCTGCAAAGCCTGGGGAGGGGGCTCTGCCTGGCTCTCCTGTACGCAGAGGGGGCGCCCCAACGCCCTCTCCTGAATCTTGGATCCCTGCACTAAAGTTTTGGAGTGTGGGGTGGGGATGCAGGAGGCTGGGAGCATGAGCAGCTTTCCCACGGGGAGTGCCGGCCCCCGCCCCCACCAGGGGGACACTGTGTGGTCTGGTTGCCCTTGGGGGAGGCAGCTCCTTAGTACCTGCCTGTCTCCCAGTTCCTGTTCAGAAACCCCCACTGTGACCTGGGGGAGAAGCTTCTGGAAACACACTGGCCTAACAACCACATCTACAGCAGTCAAGGCCTGATCCCCTTCTACATGGGGTTCATCCCCTGTGAGTACAGGACCCCATGCCCAGCTTCTTAGGACAGGGTCACACAGACACATGCTGGCCATTGTGGGGAGGGGTGGCTGGGGCTCAAGCTGTCCACCCTTCACTGCTGGTTTGGAACCACCTGTCTGGCCAGTTCCTGGGTTCCATCTTGTGGTAGGATTGTTGGCCATTCTCTCTGTCCCTTTTGGATGGGGGTTACTGGGCTCTCCTAATAATGCCCAGATTCAGGCCACCTGGCCCCCTAAGGTTTGGTGCCCAGGACAGGCCAGGCTTGCTTCAGGAAGCAGATGCCCAGAGCAGCCCCACACTCTTCTGAAGCCCGGTTTCCAGCCTATGCTGGTCCCTGGCATGTGAAAAGCCCAGCTCAGCAGCACCCTCGGTCCCCACAGCCATGCAGGACAACTACGCGCTGACGTTTGGCAACAGCACCCGGAAGGCCTACTGGAAGGAACAGGCACGGCGAGACCACACACTATGAAACAGCTTTAATGGTGTTGTCTGTACAGCATGGCGCATGAAAGGGAAAACAGCAGGTGCACACGCAGCGGGACAAGCCAGATAGGCTGGGAGTGAATAAAGAGTTCACACCGCTTCCCTGCTTTCCTGGTGACTGGAGGCTCTAGGCCACCTCCTCCTCTGCCTCCTCCTCAAACTCGCCCTCCTCCTCAGCTGTGGCATCCTGGTACTGCTGGTACTCGGACACCAGATCATTCATGTTGCTCTCGGCCTCGGTGAACTCCATCTCGTCCATGCCCTCACCCGTGTACCAGTGCAGGAAGGCCTTGCGCCGGAACATGGCGGTGAACTGCTCTGAGATTCGCTTGAACAGCTCCTGGATGGCTGTGCTGTTGCCGATGAAGGTGGCAGACATTTTTAGCCCCCGAGGCGGGATGTCACAGACAGCCGTTTTCACGTTGTTGGGGATCCACTCAACAAAGTAGCTGCTATTCTTATTTTGGACATTAAGCATTTGCTCATCCACCTCCTTCATGGACATGCGGCCCCTGAACACAGCGGCCACCGTCAGGTAGCGGCCATGGCGGGGGTCGCAGGCCGCCATCATGTTCTTGGCATCAAACATCTGCTGGGTGAGCTCGGGCACTGTCAGGGCCCGGTACTGCTGGCTGCCCCGGCTGGTCAGCGGGGCAAAGCCAGGCATGAAGAAGTGCAGGCGGGGAAACGGAACCATGTTCACGGCCAGCTTGCGCAGATCAGCATTGAGCTGGCCTGGGAAGCGCAGGCAGGTGGTGACCCCACTCATGGTGGCAGACACGAGGTGGTTCAGGTCCCCGTAGGTAGGCGTTGTCAGCTTGAGGGTTCTGAAGCAGATGTCGTAGAGAGCTTCGTTATCGATGCAGTAGGTCTCGTCTGTGTTCTCTACAAGCTGGTGGACTGAGAGGGTCGCATTGTAGGGCTCCACCACCGTGTCTGACACCTTGGGGGAGGGCACCACACTGAACGTGTTCATGATCCTGTCTGGGTACTCCTCCCGGATCTTGCTGATAAGGAGGGTACCCATCCCAGACCCAGTCCCCCCACCCAAGGAGTGGGTCAGCTGGAAACCCTGCAGGCAGTCACAGCTCTCAGCCTCCTTCCGCACAACGTCCAGCACGGAGTCCACCAGCTCTGCGCCTTCCGTGTAGTGCCCCTTGGCCCAGTTGTTCCCAGCACCACTCTGACCTGAGAGAGAACACAGCTAGTCACTTGTTAGCCAGGTAGATAGCACTACTGGTCACAAACACCATGGGAAAAAAGCCAAGCACGTGGTGTGGGCTGACCGCAGAATCCACCCTGCAGGTAGAGCAAAGGGACCCTCAAAGCGAAAGATCGGCAGCCTGCCGGGTCAAAACGAAGTCAGGAGCCCTGCCAATTTCCAAGGACAGAGCAGCCGACATTGCCCCCAGGTCAGCTCCCTGCAGGGAGATTATGTGGGCGGCGGCTCCTCGCCTCGGCAGACAGCTGGACCTTGCTCCCAAAGCCGATTTAGAAGAGGAGATTGAGCGGCTCAGGAAAGGAGGGATCCAGGGGCCCTGGCCGCGCAGTTCCCACCGCGGTGCCCTTGCAGCCGCCCCTTGACCTTTGAGCCGCCGCCCAGCTCCCAGCCGCGGCTCACCGAAAACGAAGTTGTCCGGCCGAAAGATCTGCCCGAAGGGCCCAGAGCGCACGGAGTCCATGGTGCCGGGCTCCAGATCCACGAGTACTGCGCGGGGCACGTACTTGCCGCCTGCGGGGACGGGAGGGCGTCAGCCAGGGCAGGGACCGCGGGGTCCAGGGAGGGCGGTCGGGGAAGGGGCTGGGGCCTCACCGGTGGCCTCGTTATAGTACACGTTGATGCGCTCCAGCTGCAGGTCGCTGTCCCCGTGGTAGGTGCCCGTGGGGTCAATGCCGTGCTCATCGCTGATCACCTCCCAGAACTGCAAGGGACGCGGGCGGGCCCGGGAGGCCCGGGGCTGAGTCACCGCGGCCGGTGTGTAGGGAGGCAGCCCCGCCCCGGACGGGCGCGGCAGCCCGGCCCTCCCCGCCCTTCCCCCTGCGCCACGCGCCCCAGCCGCCAGGTTCCTGGGGGCTCCGGCCGCCCGGCTCAGCCCGGTCCCCGCGCCAAGGGCCCAGCGACCGCAATGCGGGGGCGCCGCCCGCCGCTGCCGCCATCTTCCCGGGCCGCCCGGCCGCCTCGCCCGGCTGGCCCGCGCCGGCCCCAGCGCCCCGGCAGCTCACCTTGGCGCCGATTTGGTTGCCGCACTGCCCGGCCTGCAGGTGCACTATCTCCCTCATGATGGCGGCGACGGCGGCAGCGACGAGAATAGAAAGACAGCGAAACAAGCGGAGAAGCAGGCGCGCAGACTGCTACAACCGACGCTCCGCCAATGCTTATATACTCTCTGCGCCCGCCTCCGCCAGCCTCGGATTTGGCTGCCAGAACGAGGCTGGAAAGCTCCCTCGTTTGATTGGTCGCATTCCTGTCAATCAACCTGCCTAAGGTCCGCCTTTTTAACCCCGTTTGGTCTTTATTGGTCAGCCGCAGCCTCCGATCTCCCTATCACAATCCCCCCACCTGGTGCTGCAGTGCTCCGTCCATTGGGTGTTTCAAATGATTGATTTGCTCTGTCATTGGCTGGTTCCCGGGAGCACGCCGTCAGGCTGGCGCTATTGGCTGCGCGGGGTCAGCGTCCTGGTAACCGTCGCAGTGCCGCGGGAGGCGCGCGGAGGGGTGGGGCGCAGGCGCGGGCGCAGGCTTCCGGTCGGGCGGCGGGCAGCTGCGCGGGGAGCGGTGGGGGAGGGCGAGCCGGGCGGGTTTGGGGCGGGCGCAGCCCTGGCTCGCAGCCCGGGAACGCAGTTCGGGAGCCGGGAAGGGCAAGCCTGCGGCGGCCCAGCGTCCGGTGTTGCACCCTCGCTGGCCTTGCCCCGGGACACGGCATCTGGGCGCCGGGTGGGTTCGGGAGCGGGGTCCGCACGGAGCGAGCCCAGGGCTTCCAGGCTGCGGAAGCTGCGGTGCCTTCAAGGCCGGAAGATACCCGGGCTCGGAGGCCGCGGCCCCGAGGGGAGCTCCCTGCAGAGTCGCGGAGGTCGTGGGCCTTCCTGTTGCCGCGTCCCGCACGCCCGCTGCCCTCGCGGTCGGGTGAAGGGAGCACATGGGGGGAGGGGAGCGGAGGGCAGAGGCCTCCCCGCAGCCGCGCGCCCTGCTCTGTTGTGGAGACGGTGCTGGCCTTGCGCCGGTCTCCTTGGAGCCTCTGCCCCCGGAATGCGCGAGCTTCTCCGTCGGCAGGTGGCCCCGGGCTCCAGGGCGGGTCTTCCAACCGCGGGTCGGCGCGCTGGGGCTAAGTGATACTTCCGTTAATGCTTTTCCCAGTTTGTGACTTGATTTCTACTTGGGTAGGAAAAATTATGAATCGCGTGTGGTCCCACCTTTAATCAGTCTGCTTGAAAACAGATGCGCTGTATTTTTCTAGCATTTTTATTTTGCTTATTTTATTATTGTTATTTTGGGGCACGATCTCGGCCCCCCAGGTTCAAAAGATTCTCCTGCCTCAGCCTCCCCAGTAGCTGGGACTGCAGGCACCCACCACCATGCCGCTAATTTTTGTAATTTTGGTAGAGCTGGGGTTTCACCACGTTGGCCAGGCTGGTCTCAAATTCCTGACCTCATGTAATCTGACCGTCTCGGCCTCCCAAAGTGCTGGGATTACCGGCAAGAGCTACTGTGCCTTCTGTATTTTTGTAGCTTTTTTCTTTTCTTTTCTTTTTTTTTTTTTTGAGACGGAGTTTTGCTGTTGTTGCCCAGACTGGAGTGCAATGGCACGATCTCGGCTCACCACAACCTCCACCTTCTGGGTTTAAGCAATTCTCCTGCCTCACCCTTCCGAGTAGCTGGGATTACAGGCACGCGCCACCATGCCCAGCTAGTTTTTGTATTTTTAGTAGAGACGGGGTTTCACCTCGTTGACCAGGATGGTCTCTATCTCTTGACCTCATGATCCACCTGCCTCGGCCTCCCAAAGTGCTGGGATTATAGGCGTGAGCCACCGCGCCCGGCCTTCCTTTTTTTTTTTTGAGATGGAATTTTGCTCTTGTCACCCAGGCTGGAGTGCAACGTGTGGTCTTGGCTCACTGCAGCCTCCACCTCCTGGGATCAAGCGATTCTCCTGCCTCAGCTCCCAAGTAGCTGGGACTATAGGTGTGCACCGCCATGCCTGGCTAATTATTTAATTTATTTTTAGACAGACTCTCTGTTGCCCAGGCTGGAATGCAGTGTCGAAATCTTGGCTCACTGCAATGGCCGCCTCCTGGGTTCCAGCAATTCTCTGCTTCACCCTCCCAAGTAGCTGGGATTACAGGCTCCCGCCACCATGCCCTGCCTAATTTTTTTGTATTTTTAGTAGAGATGGGATTTTACCATCTTAGCTAGGCTGGTCTTGAATTCCTGACCTCGTGATCCACCCAACTTGGCTTCCAAAGTGCTGGGATTACAGGCATGAGCCACTGTGCCCAGCCTTGTTTGTGTTTTGTGTTTTTGGTAGAGGCAGGGTTTCACTGTGTTGGCCTATCTTGAGCTCCTGACCTTGGCCTCCTGGAGTGCTGTGATTACAGATGTGAGCCATTGCACCCAGCTGTGTTTTTGTAGTATTTGTATTTGTATTTATTTTTGAGACTGAGCTGTGCTCTCGTAACCAAGCCGGAGTGTGGTGGCACCATCTCGGTTCACTGCAACTTCTTTTTTTTTTGAGACGGACTTTCGCTCTTGTTACCCAGGCTGGAGTGCAATGGCGCAATCTCGGCTCACCGAAACCTCCGCCTCCTGGGATCAGGCAATTCTCCTGCCTCAGCCTCCCGAGTAGCTGGGATTGCAGGCACGTGCCACCATGCCCAGCTAAATTTTTGTATTTTTAGTAGAGACGGGGTTTCACCATGTTAACCAGGATGGTCTGGATCTCTTGACCTCGTGATCCACCCACCTCGGCCTCCCAAAGTGCTGGGATTACAGGCGTGAGCCACCACTCCCAGCTGGTTCACTGCAACTTCTTCCTCACAAGTTCAAGTGATTCTTCTGCCTTAGCCTCCAGAGTAACCACACCAGCTAATTTCTGTATTTTTAGTAGAGTCGGTTTCACTATGTTGGTCAGACTGGTCTTGAACTCCTGACCTCAGGTGATCTGCCCACTGCGGCCTCCCAAAGTGCTGGGATTACAGGCGTGAGCCACCATGCCCGGCTGTATTTTTGTAATGTTTTTAAAAGAATAAATTAGGCCTGCTGGAGGGTGGAGAGGCGGGATAGTGTGGGACAGGAGGATCAACCGCTGGGGCCCGAGGTCTGTGGCCATGTAGGATGCAGTCCAAAGAGGGCCAGAAGAGCTGGGAAGTGGGGCAGGCGGGGCAGGGGCCGCAGGCGGGGCTGGGGGAGTGCCGCCCTCCTCCTTTGGCCTGCAGCTGTCGGAGGATCCACAGTGACGGCTCTGTTTACCGGTGGCCATGGTCCCAGCGGGAGGGTGTGTTACCGCCAGATGGGGGCATCAGGCAGACAGTGTTGACGGCCTTAAAGGACCCGGAGGCTAGCTTTTGTGGGAGGCCTCACCTGCCTGGAAGGACAGGTGCATGGGCGCTTCTTCCTTCTCCACAAGGGCCTCACTGATTCCCCTCAAAGGGTAGGGGAGCTCCCCGTACTCCCTCAGTCTCCCCAGGGAGCCAGCCAGGCCTGTCCCCTACAGGGGTGCCAGTCGGCACCACAAAGCTGGTGTCAGGCCCAGAGGGCATCCTAGAATCACAGGATTGTGGGAACTGAAGCTCTAGCTGCTAAGGGTTCCGTTCTCGCTGGAGCCCACCCCTGAGTCCCCCTCCTCCCCCCCCCCCCGCCTCCTAGAGCAAGTGGTCATCTCCCTCGGTGGGTGAAACCCAGGACTAGGAGGCCTAAGAGCTTGGCGGGCAGCTGGGGCAGAGGACCCAGGGAAGACTGGGGGCCAAGGGGGCAGAGGGCCTGGGAGATGTGAGCGGGGCTGAGGGAACCTGAGTGCAGAAAGGACAGAGCCACTGGAGAAATGGCTGTGGGGCCCCTCAGGCCTCATCTTCCTGACTGGCTACACCCCTCCCTATCCCCTAGTGGGGTCTGACCAGGGCAACTCTCAGAGGTGATGGGAAGAGAGGTGCCCTCATCAGGGCTTCAGTTCTTGATGGGAGGATGTGACGGGTCACAACAGCAGACTCAGATGAGCTCACGCCTATAATCCCAGCACTTTGGGAGGCTGAGGTGGGCAGATTGCCTGAGGTTGGGAGTTTGAGACCAGCCTGACCAACATGAAGAAACCACGCTTCTACTAAAAATACAAAATTAGCCTGGCATGGTGCCACATGCCTGCAAACGGGAGGCCAAGGCAGGAGAATCGCTCGAACCTGGAGGCAGAGGTTGCGGTGAGCAAAGATCTCACCATTTCACTCCAGCCTGGGCAACAAGAGCAAAACTCTTGTTTCAAAAGAAGAAAGGAAGGTTGGGAGGGAGGGAGGAGGAAAAAAAAGAAATGATCAAACTAGAACGGTCCCTGATGGGGCCACCTCCTCCCACCTGTTTGTATGTGCCTGACAGAGAGCTGGAGGTCTGGGGTGACCCAGAGCTTTCTTCCCTTGGGGGAGTGCAGGGGTGGGGCCGTGGGAAGCTCTGGGCGAGAGGTGGCAGGAGCCCCCCCCTCCCGGGTGTCCAGTTACCACTGGCGGACAGACAAGCCTTCCTGTGTGGAAACCTGACCGCACAGTGGAGGGAGGGCAAGGCCCCCCTCCCTGGCTCCGAAGTCCTCCCCATGGGCGTTGCTCGCCCTCCTGGGCCCACCCCACTGGCAGGCCTTCCCGGGACAGGGTCTCATTCCCTGTGGCAGTGTGAGGCTTCAGTGCACCCCAGCCTGGCAGGTGAGACCAGTGGGCCTCCCAGTGGCAGGCCTCCCAGTGGGTTCTGGGAGCTGGGACCTGCTGTGGCCCAGCCCAGGACCAGCGGAGAGACACAGAGGGCCGATGGGTAGGGGCTGCCTCAAGGAGCACCCAGCCCTCCAAGCCATTGGGGTCCCCTCCTCACACCCCACATACCCGGTGAGACTCCAGGCCCCACCCCAACCGTGACATCTGCCAGGGGCAGAGGGGGTCTGGGGCCTCCCAGCCCCAAACCACCTGCCCTGCTCCCTGCAGACTGGGCTCTCCCGTGTGCCCTTGGGAGGGACCCTGGCTCCCACTGTGGGAAGTCCCCGCCCCCTAGGCCCGCCATTCCTCGGCAGCTTCTGTCCCCAGTGGCTGTGGCGATAAACAGTCGAGATAGGTGGCACCTCCACCTGAGCCCCAGGCCCCAGAGTGTCCACCAGGAGGCAGCATCGGGCCGCATCCCCCGCCTCCGCCCAGATGGCCTCTGTTTAGGGGAGCGAGGACAGTCACCTGGGGTAACAGCCTGGTTTATTTGCACAGAAGGGGAGCAGGAGACCCCTCCGCCAGGACCCTCCAGAGCTTTCCCAGCCAGGTAGGGCGGGGTGGTCCACACGGTGCCCACCCTCACAGCTGCTGGGAGGCCAAGACCTCAGGGTTCTCGTAGCAGTGGGCCTCTTTGGTGGTGGCCTGTGGGGGGCTGCAGGCCTTGCAAGGGCAACAGCGGGTCACCAGGCGGTCCCAGGGCTCCAGAGAGTGGAGCCAGATGGGGAGCCAGGCCCAGGAGCGCAGGCGGGCTGGCAGCCAGGCTGGCCGGCGCTGCTGCAGCGTGGTGACCAGGATGACGAGGAGCACCAGCCCCACCAGGGGACCCCCAACGGCAGCCAGCACCGTGCCTCCTGCCAGGGAGAGCCCAAAGACTGCCAGGGGCAGCAGCAGGAAGCCCAGCAGCAGGTAGGCCCCAGCCACCCAGCGGTAACGGGCGGTCACTGCCCCAAAGTGCCTGGCCAGCATGATGGGCAGCCGCAGCGCAGGCACCAGATACCACAGCAGGATGCCGGCCAGGTTGAAAAAGAAGTGGATGAGGGCGACCTGGGGGCAAGGGGGCTGTCAGGGTCCTGGGCCCGATGAGGTGGGGTCACCAAGGGCTCAGGACCCCTGCCCTACTCTGCCCTGCAGAAGGGACACCAAGTCCGAAGTTTATTCTGCTCCACGGCTGAGATGGCCGTCTGGGGAGTGGACTGCAGCCAGAGGTGGACACGCTCCTCCCACATACCTCTCTGCAAGCCTGGGAGCTGCAGCCCAGCCCAGCCCAGCACCCCGGGCGCCAACCACATTACTGCTGCCCTAAGGGGGACCCCGTGGGGGAGGCACCCTCTGACTTGGCTCTGCCTGTGCCTCGTGCCAGGAGACCCCTTCTCTTTAGCCCTCAGGCCCTAGAGGGAGGAGGTGCAGGGCCACAGAAGGGAGAACACACAGCCCTCCAGAGGCTGTTAGACTGCAAGGATGCACACACAGGTGCAGTCTGGAGGACTTCCTGGAGCGGGTGGAGGACCTTGCACTGGGAGGGTCTGAGTGGACAGACAGGGAAGAGCCAAGGCCTAGGGTGGGATCTGGGGCTGCTGTGCTGGTCTCTTCCTGTCTGAGGCCCAGCGTAGCCTGGGACTGCAGGAGCTGAGCCTGTTGGGCTTCCGGGCAGCAGGCCGGCCAAAAAGGGGGTGTTTTAGCGGGAGAACTAGCTGGACTGAGTGAGCCTGGGGGTGGGGCACAGAGCTGGGGGCTCAGACTGGGGAGGTGTCCTGGAGGCAGAGTCACAGCTGGGACAGCGGCAAGGCAGGGCCCAGCACAGGTGTGACTTGGCCTTTGCAGATGTGGGATGGGGGGTGGGAGGGTCGTCTAGATGGGGACCTGCAGGGGGTGAGTGGCTGCTCCTCGAGGGAGCAGGAATTGGGGGAGAGGCATCTGAGGGTGCTGGAATAGAGGGGCTTGGAGTCCCCTGAGGCCTCGGGGGTAGGCCTCCAGGGGCACAGCAGAGAGCTGAGAAAATGTGAAAATGAGGAGGTCTCAAGTGAGGAGATGCAGAGTGGGCAAGAGATATGTGCAGGGCGGGGTCCAAGGAGGCTGAGCAATAGGGCTGAGGCTGGCGGCCAGGAGGGCAGGGGCGCGGCCAGCCCGGGGTTTCCGGGAGGGCAGGGGCATGGCCGGGGAAGGGGTCTGGGAGGGTGGAGCATGGCCGGGGAAGGGGTCCAGGAGGGTGGGGCATGGCCAGGGAAGAAGTTTGGGAGAGTGGGGGCACAGCCAGCCTGGGGGTCCAGGAGGGCAGGGGCCCCACCAGGGAAGGGGTCTGGGAGGGTGGGGGCACAGCCTGCCTGGGGGCGTGGAGCTTGGGAGATGCCTGGCTGAGAGGGAGCTTGGCAGGCTCTGGCAGTGGGCGGGTGGACAGTACCTGCAGGGCGCTGAATATTCTGTCTGCGGGGCTGGCCAGGGCGGCCAGCAGGGCTGTGGTGGTGGTGCCGATGTTGGAGCCCAGTAACAGGGGGTACGCCCGGTCCAGGCTGATCACCCCAACTCCTGGGGGAACTGGGGGTCACCGCAGGGCCCCAGCCTGAGCCCCTGCTCCAGAAGCCCCTGCCCACCTGCTCACCCATGAGGGGCACGATGGCTGCTGTGAAGACGCTGCTGCTCTGCAGTGCAAAGGTCAGGCCGGCGCCCACAAGGAGGGCCAGGTAGCCGCTGAGCCAGCCCAGAGGGAAGGGGAAGTCTGTGGGGGATGCCGGGTCAGCCCCAGCCACCGAGGAGGAGGCCCAGGTAGCCTCTGAGCCAGGCTGGCAGGAAGGGGACGTCTGTGGAGGATGCTGGGTCATCCCCAGCCACCACACCTCCTCCCTAGCCCTCACCCGCGTTGATGATGGTCTTCACGGCCTGGGCCACGCGGCCATGCAGCACAGAGTTGAGCAGCTTGACAATGAGGACCAGGCAGCTGCAGAGCACCAGCAGGGAGCCGGCCAGCAGGATGAAGCCCACGGCCAGGTCCGTGAGCTCCGTGCCCACAAACAGGTGGTGGCCTGGAGGCAGGGCAGGGGCAGGTGAGGGGAGCCTGAGGGGCCAGCTGGCGCAGTGGGCTTTACAGGGCAGCCTGTCCACAGGGCTGTGCTGTTCCTCTCTTTGCAAGGGTGGGTGAGGGGGAGCGTGGGGGGCTTGGGGGAGGGCGTGGGGTGGGCCGAGCCTCACAGGGCAACCTGTCTGCTGGGGCTGTGCCGTTCCTCTCCTTGCAGGGACCAGAGTCTCCACAGTCGCTGCTGTTCCCCTTGGTCTGGCGAGGGCAGGGAGGACTCAGGACAGGCTCAGTTGGCAGACAGAGGTCAGAGGGCTCAAGGTGAGGTGGGTGGGGCTCAGCAGGTAGGGATCAGGGGTCAGGGAGGGGCTGGGTGGCGCCTCACTGGCTGCCCGGTGGAGCTGCACCACTGCTTAATGAGGCTGCTGGTGGTGGCGTTGCCCGTGGCACTGCCCATGATCACGTCAGAGTCCAGCTGGGGGCCGGAGGGGTCATGACAGTGTGTGAGACCCTCCCTCAGGACTCAGCTGGGGCTCCGACGCCCGCAGGGTCCAGCCCAGCGGTGCCTGCTGCTGCCCTCAATGCTGACCCTGCATCAGGGCAGGGCCGGCCTCCGCCTCCCACCTGGCCTGCTCCGGCTCCTCTCACCTGCACGATGAGGTGTGTGAGTGGCTTGGTCAGCACCTTGAGGATGTCGGGTGCCTGTGCCCCGGGCTCCAGGCTGGCGGCACCCACGGCCAGCTCGCTGACCCTCTCCAGCAGGGCTGTGGCAGTCTCCAGCGGCAGCATGACCAGCACGGTGAGCCAGTTGAAGATGCCGTGCACCGCCGAGCCGCTGAAGGCCCTGCGGCCAGAGTCAGTGGTGGTGGGGGGTGGGCTGGTGCAGCCCTGCCCGGCCCTTCCACCCGCAACTCACCTCTGAAATTCATCCCGGTCCCCTGACTGCGCCATTGAGACCAGGGTGCTGGTGATGGATGTGCCTACGTTGACACCCATGATGATGGGCACGGACGCCCGGACAGTCAGCACTGCCGGTGAGGTGCTGAGTCAGCCTATGGCCCACCCCGCCCCCGCCACCACCCGGGGAAGGAGGGTACACGCACGCTTAGCGGCCACCATGCTGACCACGATGGAGGAGGACGTGCTTGAGCTCTGCACCAGGGCTGTGACCAGCACACCAATGACCAGTCCAGCCACAGGGTTGGACAGCACCACGTTGTCCCTAAAGATGTCTCCGGCCAGTCTGCCTACACCGGCGAGAGAGCTTCTCTAAGGCTGCGGAGGGCTGGCTGCCCGCCCTGCCCTGGGCACCTGCCCTGTCACTCACTGCCCAGCAGCTGGAAGGCAGAGCTGAGGACGTCCAGGGAGCAGATGAACAGGTACAGGCATCCGAGGAGCCCGCAGGCCTTGAGGAGGTTGCCAGCGACGAGACGCAGCCTGCTGGCTATTGGGAGCTCTGAGGACACAGGGCAGGATGTCCTCGGCCAGCCTCCACCCTGACTGCCCCCCCAGGGCCCCTCATCCTTGGCCTCCGGGGGCTATTTCTGTCTCCTCTGTCCCTGACAGGGTGGGGTCCCATTTCCTCCTCCTCTGTCATCCCCAGGGCAGGGCCTGGGTCCCCTCTGTCCACTCCCCCTGCCTTTTCAAGCCAGAAGCCCCTGGGACCCTCTCTCGAAGAAGCATAGCTGCCTGCAGGAGGGGAGGGACCCATGGGCAGGTTGGCTTGTCCACCCCAGGACAGGACACATGCTGGGCTGAGGGACACGTGCCTCCCCCCAGGGGCCTGCATGGCAGGGTTCTCCATGCACAGCCTGTTTGGGCAGGCCCCACCCTGCTCTCTCTCCCCAGCCCCCTGGGGACAGAGGCCTGCCAGACTGCCACCTCCGGCACCCCCAGACCCACCTTTCCAGGGCTGGCTGGTGTCCTTCAGCTGAGGGAGGGCCCAGGGGTCTGTGTCACCCTCCTGCAAGACTGGAGCAGAACTAGAGGTCCCTGTGGGGGTGGAATTGAGTATGGCCATTTCCAAGACCCCCCTCCGCCAGCTGGGGGCACCAGGGCACAGGCTGGAGGAGGGGCTGAGGCATGAGAGGCCTGAAGTGAGGGACAGAAACAAAACAGGGAAGACGGGGCTTCAGCTGGGTTGGACCTGAGCGGAGCTGTCAGAGTGTGGGCTCCCCGGAGGTCTGTCTCTTCTCAGTGCAGGTGGTCAGACCAGTCAAGGCCTGGGGCATGGGGCCTACTGGTACCTGTGTTCCTCAGCGTCCTGTCCACTAGGTCCACTGCATCCAGAGTGGGGTGGGGGACCTGGCTGCCCGGGAGAGAGCTCGGCATGGATTCGGGCAGGGACAGACCCAGGCCCAGGCCCGGATCTGCTGGGAGACCCACGCGTCACTAACACCTCCTCCTGCCCTGGCCCTGGCCTCACAAGCTGGATTCGAGCTCCTGGGTTCCCTGAACTGAGGCCTTGGCCACCACCCTCCCTCCCCACCCACTTCTCCATCCACAGGGGGATGGCTGCAGTGACCTCAGGTAGTCGTCAGGCGAGCCCAGTCCAGTTCCGGGGCCGACTGAGGGGCCCTGGCTCCCCGGCTCCCTCGCTGGTTTTGACTGGAAGGCCTGGCGGGTGCTGAGGGTGCTGGGTGCTGGGCTCAGGCCGGAAGTGACCGTGAGCTGGGGAACCTGGGGGCCTCTCCTATCAGGTGTCATCGGGGACACTGTGGATGGTCCCAACTTAGACTTTGGCATTTGATACCAAACAGTGACGTCTCAGCTTGATAAGGGACCCATGCCCTGGTGATAGGAAGCATGTGGGGACCAGGTGTCCTCACACCACCTCAAAGCTCCTGGTCCCGAAGCAGCTGCTTTCTCAGCCTCCTGGGCCTACTCACCCCACACCCTCGTGCCGCCCACCAGGACCTTCCACCCAGGGCCCTGGGCTCAGGTCCAGGCGTCCTCCTCCTCACCCTCCCTCCTGCTGCCTGAGCCTGCTGTCTCCTGCCCTTAGGTCCTGGAGGATCAGGATGGGGCCCAAGCCCTGGGCTCGGAGGCCACCCAGCCTCAGCCTCACTGTTCCTGGGCCCCAGCCTGGTCCTGGGAGCTCCTACCTGTGTGGGTGGTGAGGTGCCACCTGCAGGAGGAGCGGGGCGGGAGCGGGTGCAGGTCAAAGATCCCCCGATCGTGCATGTGACCTGCCGGCGCTGAGCCCATTAATGTTTACCCAGGAGCCCAGGTCCCCACGGGGTACCCTTCTGGCCCCAAGGCCCCTCGGCCTCGTCCATGTCCTGTCACACTGTGGCTAGGAGCTCCAAGCCCCAGCCCAACCCTCCTGGAGCAGGGTTTCTCCCAGGTGCACTCTGAATCAGGCTCAGGGCGCTGCAGGGCACCGGCCTTCAGTAATGGATATCCCCAATGGGCATCTGTGTGACCCAAGAGACATGGCACAGCCAGCTGGGCAGAATGCAAGAGCATGGCTGGCCTTGCCGGGCACTGGAGACTCCAGTCCCCACCTCCATGCATCTCAGGGCTCCGCAGACCTTCTCAGGGTCATCCCTGCCTCTGACAGTGGGGAGGGAATCCCTTTGCACCTGCCGGTGGGGAGGACAGGCTCGTTCGTATAGCCAGGGAGGGCACCCAGCCCGAGGTCAGAGGGTTCAGATCCGGGTTCAGGGCACGGCTGGGCCTCAGCATCGATGGAGGTGGGCAGCCTCCATCTGCAGAGGGAGAAGGGCAGGGCCCCCCAGGCCACCTTCGACACCACTGCCTGGCCCGCCACACCGCTCTCCCCAGCAGAGTCCTAGATGGCCCCACCACTTGTGTGGTGTCCCCTAGGAGGACTGGGCCCCTTCCTGGCCTGGGGTATGGGCAGCTCCCGCAAGGCTCGCCCTGCCCAGGGGCTGCTTGTGCCTGCTCTGCTGGCTGCCCAGCCCCCACTGTGTGCATGGGACTTTGCCCCAGAGAAGGTAGACGCTTCTGAGTGTCCACTCAGCAAATTCTCTTCCATCCCATCCTGCGACTCTGCTCTGGGGGTGGTGGGGCAACAGTCTGCCCCGGGCTCCTGAGTAGCAGTGCCTTCTATGGGGGCAGGGTGGGGTGTCGCAGCACTCGGGTCACTGCCATCCACAGCCCTGGCCCCGGTCCCGGCCCCGGCCCCAGCCCCTCTGAAGGGTCTGTTTGGTGGCTGCTGGAAGCCTGGAAAGGTTCAGCTGAGGACAAGGCCAGCTGGGCTGTGAGGCCTCAGGCAGGCCCCGCCGGGGCATCCTCCTCGTGCCTGCGTGGCCTTGTGCCTGCATGGGACCCTCCAGGAACAGTGCCCGGCACGCAGCGGGAACTCTGTGAGTTTTGCAGAGTGGGTGAATTCACAAGGCTTCCGTGCAGGGCAGAGCGAAAGGAGCTGGCCTTGCCACCCTCCTGGCACATCCTGGGACATTTATGGGAGAGGGGACCTCCCTGGCATCCCACAGGGCACGGCCCTGCCCAGCCCTGCCCTCCAGCCTGCAGCCCAGGCCCCAGGACTGGCCTTTGCATCCTCCTGGGAGCCGTCCTTTGCACCGGGTCTAGGCCCGAGCCAGACTTGCCGTCCACTCAGATGGCAGCAGCCTCAGCAGGCACGTCTGGTTGGGCTAGTTGGGGGTCTGGTAATTCTGGCCTCCTGCGAAGGCTCCCAGTCCCCAACCTCAGGCTGTGGCCTGGGATCGGATCGCACCACCCCATTGGGCCACGTGGAGCTGTGTACAGAACACTACTGCCAGGTGGTTCCAGGTGGGCTGTGAGTGGCCAGGGGTTCCAAGGCAGGCATTTCCCCTGCAGGGGTGGGAATGGCCAGAGTCAGACCTCAGGGCTGCCTGGGGGTGGGCAGCAGAGGCGGCCACAGCCCCAGCAGCAGTGTCTGGGCCGAGGGAAGTGGGGCTGGGGGCCCAAGGCAGGGCACAGCCCCACTGGCTGCTGAGTGATGGTGCTGCCTTTGAGGGAGGTGAGGGGCAGGGGCTCCACTCTTGCCAGCTCCCGCTCAGCCTTGACTGCCAGGAAAGCAGCCAGGTCCAGGTCCAGCATAGCCACCCCTCCTCGAGGAGTGGGCGTGCTCTGGCGACACTGCGGGCAGGGGATCCAGCGCTGCTCGGGCGCCGGTGCATCCAGCCGCCGCACACACGCTTGGCAGAAGGTGTGCCCGCAGTGGAGGCGGCGGGGCAGGTGCCCGGAGAGGTCATAAGCCGAGCAGCAGACGATGCAGTCACTCCTCCGGGGGCCGCCCTCCCCCGAGGCCTGGGGGCCCTCTGGCCGTAGCATCCTGCGAGAGGGAAGCCCGCAGTGGACAGCCTGCCTTGGGACACCCCATTCGTGGGGTTCCAGCCCCAGGAACCTACCCCAGAGGTCAGGCACTGGGTCTGTGGGGCTGGTGCATGAAGACCTGGGAGGGAGGGTACAGGAAGACACCAGGGTCCAGGCACCTCTGCTTCATGTGGGCACCAGCCGGGCAGCCTCCTGTTCCCATAGGACGCCCTGGCCCAGCCCTGGCCTCCACCCTCACAGCCAACCGGAGGCCAGGTCTCTTACCTGCATGGGCTCTGCTGGGCCGCTATGCACACCCAGGGGGTGGCCGGAGAAGGGGGTGGGGACCCAGAGCACCCTGCGGCTCCCTCCTGGCTTGCATTACTAGCTTTACACAGGAATCAGGAGAGACGCAGGTGGCCGGCTGGGCGGGCATGGGCTCCCGTTTCAGCCACAAAGCCTTGAAACTAGATCTGATGGTACCACCCACCTGCAGGAGATAACGTGCCCTTCGCCCCCTGCCCACCCCTCCCATCCAGACCCAGCCACCTTCTGCTAACACCTCATCCAGGCTAGCCTTGGGGGAGTCCATTCCCCCACTCTCAGCCCTTCTCCCCACACTCACACCGTTCCCCACTCTCCAAACCTTCCCCACTTCCCCTCCCCTCCCCCACCCTTACTCTCCCCGTCCTTTAAGCTCCTCTCCGTACTGGATTGTTTTCCTGCCTAGATCTCCGCTCACATCTCCTCCTCTAGGAAGCCTGCCGGCGTTTCCCTCGGGCACAGAGCCCTCTGCAGACTTTGCCACTGTGCTTGTGTGTGGATCTATGTGGCTTCTCAGCCTCACCTTGATGCCCGCCGGACAGCAGGGGGCCATGTCTGTTCTCGAGGCCTCCAGGTGGCGCGACAGCTCCGTGTCTGGGGATCCCCACTCCCAGCTGGGGTCCCCAGACAGCGCCAGACGCCTCCGCCTCAGCAGGCAGCTCCCAGCTGCTCTGCTCATCTGCAGCCCCCAGGCCACCCGGGAGGCCCAGGTTCCAGGAGGTGCTGTCGGCCTGTCCACACCAGACCGCAGGCAGAGCACAGTCAGGGGACTGAGAGGGGTTGGGATGGGTGGGCAGGAGCCCAGGACCACTCACAGTCCTGCTGGGTGGAAGCAAACGGCCCCTCCTCACCCCTGCCCACCCTCTTGGCAGTCTGCCCCTCGGACTGGTCAGACAGGTTCCCGTGGCTAGCCTGGGTGCGGTCACCCTCCGGTGGGGGCCAGCGACAGAGCAAGGCGGGGAGCCTGGCACACCAAGTCCCTGCACAGGGTCAGGGCAGTGACCCATCCGTCCCACGCCTGGAGACCTCTGCATGCCAGGCACCTCCCCTGCCCTGCTCTGCTGTGGCGCTAGTCACCATGTGTCAGGGAAGGGCTGGCCTGGTGTGAGGACTCGTCTGTCTTGCATGGCCAGCTCAGCTGCCGCCTCCTCTCCTTTTCTCTGCCTGCCTGGAACACCAGGGTGCCCCACGCTGGCCTCAGCAGTCACTCCCTTCCTGGCATCCTGGCCTGCAGTGATGAGGCAGTACCTGTGCAGAGCAGCCTAGTGCCTTGAGCTCAGCCCCAGAGAGGCCCTCGCCCAGCTCAGACAGACCAGGAGACAGCCCCAGGACCCATGGTCCCAACCTCCTTCTCTCCCTGTTCCCTGCTTTGTCCTCAAGGCCTGGTCCAGGCCACCTCCTCCCGGAAGCCCAGGCCTCAAGGCAGGACAGTAGATGTGCAGGAATTAGACATTTCCTGGGAAACTAGAAAAACATCCCAGCTGAGGCTGGGAGGTGAATCACCAGTGGGCAGGGCGTGACCCAGGCTGTCTGGGCCCTCCTGTCCTGAGCTTCCACTCCCTGAAACCTGTGGCACCTGCCGCACCCACCTGAGGTGGTGCGGCACGCTCCTCCTCTTGGAGGCCTTTCCTAGGGTTCCCCCAGTTCCATCCTCCTGGCTGACCCATTGACTGACCCCAGGGAGCTCAAATCCAGACCCTGCTTGGCCAGGGCCGTGGACATACTGAAAGTCCCCAGGGAGCCTCTGGGCAGGCCGGAGACCAGCAGGGCAGGGGAGAGGGTGGATGTCGAGAGGCAGTGGCAACCCTGTCCCTGCAACGTCCACAGTGACTGTGTGTGTGTCCTTGAGCCCACACAAGGGGAAAGCTGCTCTGTGTCCAGCTATAACCCCCTCCCAAAGGAGTCTGCAGCAAAGAAGAGTTGCTGGGAGACCACCTTGCTTTATTGCCCGGGCCTTAAGGTAATCAGGGGTGTCTCTCTCCAGCTAGGGCCTGGGATTCCGTTTCAGGAGCTCGGGCTGATTGGTCACCTTCCTGGTGGGTCCATGCCCAGTCCCTGGTGGGAAGGGGCCAGTGTCCGTGACAGTAGCCACCCCAAATGTTCAGGCATTGCCTGGGCTGTGTGAACCGAGGCCTGGGTCCTGGCCCTGCTGGGATGGGCCAGGCTAGGAGACAACGCAGCAGCAGCAGCTGTGGCAGCGGCAGAAGGGAGGGCAGTGGCAGCAGCGGCAGCAAGGGCAGCAGCAGCAGTGGTGGGCGATGTCGTCGCCACGGCCCACGGGCGGACGGCCAGCATAGGTCAGTCCGGCCGGGCGCCGACTGCTGCCATATGGATGGCCAGGCTGTTGCCAGGCCTGGTTCTGGATGGGCACAGCCCCCTGGGTACCCTTGGCGCCCTTGGGCCCTGGGACCTCAGTCGGCTGCAAGAAGCGGGTTGGCTCCGGGGCACAGGGCCCCACTGGCAGTGGCTGCATCTCCGAGGATGAGGAACAGGTGGGAGCCACCTCTAACTGCTGCCCCAGGTCAGGCCGCAGGTGAGCCCGGGGGATGCTGATGTGGGCGTATGGGTTCTTGACGACCATCTCGTGGGGGTCCATGGCCTAGCCTACAGGGGTGGGCAGAGAAGACAGATACAGACTCGATGGAGTGGGATGGCTGCCCAGAAGCCTGTGGCCCAAGAAAGCACCCACCCAGGAGCAGCGTGCCTTGTCCGAGGCAAACGTGCCCAGGGGTGCAGTGACCTCAAAGTGACCTGCACGTGTATGCAAGGCTACTGTCATGGGCAGGAGCCATGTGAGAGCGAGGGCTGGTGCCTCCCCGCTGCCTCCCCTGCCAGGGATCCTGCCCTCCCCTGGTGGCATTGCCCCTGGGATGGAGCTGGGAATGGGATGTGAGAGGCTGAGACTGGAGAGAAGGGGGCTGACCCTGCAGTGTCCCTGAATTCAGGGCAGTCCCAGGGCTGAGGGCTCACCTATGGTGGCAGTGTGGCAGTCTGTCCTCTCGGTCCTCTGAGCTCTGGGTCCCAGTGCCTGAGTTGAGCGACTGGCAGCCGCCTTTTCCCTCCTTGGGAGGGGCGGGGCCATGGGCGGGGCTCAGAGATGGGGTTCCCAAGAGGCCCCAACAACTGGAGCATGGCTGCTGGCCCACCCCTCATCCTCAGGTGGGTGGCAGCCTAGACCTGGGCTCCGAGGGGCACTGCCAACCCAGTGACTCAGTCCCCTCACATCCGGGGCACGGCCTGGCCCTAAAGGGCATCTGCAGCTTGCCAGAGGTGAGGGCAGTAGGTGAGCCTGAGGTCATGGCTCCAGAAAGGAAGTGGGGCAAGGCCCTGGAATTCCTGGGCTGCAGTCCCCAGCCTCTGGGCCTTTACTCAGCGGAGACCAAGGTGTTTGACAGGATAGGCTCTTGGGGCGTTCTGCCTTTTTTTTTTTTTTTTTTTTTTTTTTTGAGACGGAGTTTTGTTCTTTGTTGCCCAGGCTGGAGTGCAGTGGGGGCTATCTCAGCTCATTGCAACCTCTGCCTTTTGGGTTCAGGAGATTTCCTGCCTCAGCCTCCGGAATAGCTGGGATTACAGGAGCCTGTCACCACCCCCGGCTAATTTTTGTATTTTTAGTAGAGACAGGGTTTCACCATATTGGCCAGGCTGGTCTCAAACTCCTGACCTCAGGTGATCCACCCGCCTCCGCCTCCCAATGTGCTGGGACTACAGGCATGAGCCACCGCACCCAGCGGTTCTTCGTTTAAGACAGAGCCTAACTGTGACATCCAGGCTGGAGTGCAGTGGCACCATCTGGGCTTACTGCAACCTCAACCTCCTGGGCTCTAGTGATCCTCCCACCTTGGCCTCCCGAGTAGCTGGGAGGACTACAGGCGCATCACCATGCAGGCTGATTCTCTGTAGAGAGGCAGGTCTCACTATGTTGCCTAGGCTGATCTCAAACTCCGGAGTGATCTGCCCACCTCCACCTCCCAAAGTGCTGGATTCCAGGCGTGAGGCACCGTGCCGAGCGTCTTTTTTGCTTTTTTCACTGATAAAAAATGTTTGATTTGCACGTTTTGCCACGGGTCTTACGATCAGTGACACGAGCTTTAGACACTACTGACATTTTTAACTCACTTCTCAAACTGCAGTTACCCTCTGGCTGGCGGGCGTGGGGTCCACACGGGGCCCCCTAGCGTCCCCACCCTGGGCCCCCGCCTCCAGCCCAGCTTTGGCTCCATCTGCACCTCCACAGGCAGGGAGGCTGCGGGCGCCGCGGGACAGTGGGTGCAGCGGGCACCGACGAGTGCCGCGGGGCGTCCCAGGGCAGTGGGGGTCTTGGCGCCCAGGGGAGCGCTAGGAATGACGGGGTCCAGTCAGGTGGCCTGGAGGCCCGGGTGACCGGGGTGGTCTGTGCGGGGCCAGTCAGACCGGTCCGGACACGAGTTCAGGAAGCCCGGCCCCGATTCGGGGAGAACTGGGCGCTGTGGGGCACCCAACACTGAAGGCCGGCGACAGAGATCCACTGCGCAGGCGCCGGAATCCCCGCCCACCTCCCTGCGTGCGCCTATGGCGCATGCGCCAATTAGGCAGGGACCGGCCGCGGAAATTTTATTCCCCAGAAGCCTTCGCGCTCTAGGGTTTCCCGAAAGTCCCGGTTCGGATGTAACCAATACTCGGCTTGGGCCTCCCCAGCTCTGATCGGCGGGGCCTCGTGACGGAGGCGGGGCCGCACCTTATGGGGGCGGAGTCTTGCTGAGGGGGCGGGGCCCGCGGCCCGGTGCGTCCTTGGGCACGCTCGGGGTCGGTAGGTGAGCAGGTCCTGCGGCGGAGCTGGGCTTCCAGCCCTCCCCAGGCCCAGGCTGCCTCAGTTGCCCCACCATCATGGCAGGCCCCGTAAGGGTCCCTAGAGCAGCACCCCGTCACCCGCACACCGCTCCCTACTGCTCTTTTGAGTGACACTAGCCCGAGACCCCACGGAGGGGCCAAGCCAGACCCTAAGGGCAGGGCCGCTCCTCCAGCCTGGTTTGCCCACGTTGGCTCCCGCACAAGGGGCAGCGTCCCCTCTGGCTCAGCACTCTGCAGGTCCTGGGGCTCTGCCTGGAGCGGGTGCGGTCCGGCCCGTCCAGCGGAGAGAGGGGCTGAAGGAGGCCAGGCTATCCAGGGCCTGGTGCGGGGTGCAGAGCGGGTCACAGCGAGCAGCAGAGGCCCTGGAAGGCCTGGTCCCCTGCCCGGCGGTAACCGGCAAGCCCTTGGTCCTTCCCTCGCCCGAGGGCTCTGCAGGCAGAAGGCGGACCCAGGACGCAGAACAGCCTGGGTTGAGGAAGCAGAGGCCCAGCCTGCGGGATGGTGGGCAAGGCTGCCCGCTCAATGCCCGGGCCACCCTTCCCCGGGCAGGTGCGGTCCTCAGGGCCGCCTCTGTCCCGCGCGGGGCTGCCAGCCTGTCTTTCGCGCACTCCCACCCGGCCTGGCCGTCCACTACCTCGGCCTTCTGCTGCCCCGCTCGTGCTCTTTAGGGTCCCAGCGCCCTCTCGGAGCTGCCGCACCCGGCACGGGCGGGGCTGGAGGCCTCGGGGCCTTTCCTGGGGGCAGGGGCTGGGGGCGCCGGTGGGCCCTGGAACAAGCTCCTCTGGGACCCTCCACGCGGGTCCCCTCCTTCCCGCTCCAGAGTCCGGAGGCCTAGTGTAAGGAGGAGAACGGCCGATTCCCCCAGAATTTGGGGAGGCTTGACCAGGACTCAGGGTCAGCCTGAACAGGAGGGGAGCGGAGAACTGGGGGGGAGCGGGGGTCCTGCCCCCTACGCAGCCCGCGGGCGAGGGCGATGCCAGGAACGGACTGAGGGGCGGCCAGGAGGTCGGCCCCGCCCCGCGGACCCCGCGCGGGTCCCCAGACGGGGGGTGGCGCTGCGGGCGCGGGCGGGCGCCGCGCGCACTGCGGTCCCCGCGCCTCCGCCGCAGAGCGCGCCACGCTCCGCACGCACCTGCCGCCGCCGCCGCGCCAAGCCCCGCGCCCCGCGCCCCACGCCCGCGCCCCTGGGTGCCGCCCGGGCCCGGCCATCGCCCGAGGTCGCTGCAGCTTCGCCGGAGCCGCCGGAGCCCCGCTGAGCTGCCGGGCCGAGGCGCGGGCGCCGCGTCCGGGCCTGCCTTTGAGACAACCTCTGCGGCGGCGGCGCGCTGCCGGGACGCCAGGCTGGGGCAGGTGAGCGCAGGGGGCGGGGGCCGGGGCCAGGAACCGGGGCCAGGGGCGGACTCGGCGCCCCTCCCCACGCGGCGGGGGTCGGCCCTCGGGAAGGTGCGTCCGGCCTTGGAGGCGGGGACCGGGGAGGGGGCTGGGTTCCGAGGCCCGCGAAGGTCGGGATCCCGCGGCTGAGGTCAGGGTCAGAGGTCGGGCGCTCGGGCTTTTGTGCGGGCGGAGGGCGAGGGTAGGGGTGGCCTGGGCACTATCCTCATGGCGTCTCTCACCTGCAGCTCAGGCCTGGCCCAGGCCTCGCCTCTGCTCCTGCCGCGGAGCCTGCCGCCCGGGTCCTCCTGCAGCCAACGCTTCGGCTAGCTGCCTTCCCTGGGCGCCCTGTCCTGGAGCCATGGGGCCCACCCAGCCCCTGCCTGCCCCGATGTCCCAGCCCGTGGCCTGCTGACCTCGGCTGTCGGGGGAGCCCCCCCCACGCCCCCTCGCCAGCCTCAGCAGCCAGAGACCCTGGGTGAGACTCTGGGCCCGACGCCCAGCCCAGGGCAGCCTCCCACGCCCCCCTGCCCCCGCCTGCCTCCCCCTCCCCCACCCATTCCTCCTCCTCCCAGGACTGGACCAGGAAAGCCACTGTGGCCAGTGGGGGGGCCCCTGCGCCCCCAACTCTCGCCGGCTGCCCCTAGGAGTCCACGGGCCAGCCGGGGCCCCCCCCAGGCCTGGCGGGACCAGGATGCTGCCCCATCACCTTCCCCCCAGCCCCACACCACGCCACCACCCACCCGAACACCCAGTCTGACTGGAGACAGCCGGATGCCCTCTGACCCTGGGCCCGAGGCGGGCAGTGGCTGGCCGGGCCTCCTCATGTCCTGCCTGAAGGGTCCCCATGTCATCCTCAAGATGGAAGCCATGAAGATCGTGCATCCCGAAAAGTTCCCTGAGCTGCCGGCTGCCCCCTGCTTCCCGCCTGCTCCCCGGCCCACCCCCACTCTGGCACCCAAGCGTGCCTGGCCCTCAGACACAGAGATCATTGTCAACCAGGCATGTGGGGGGGACATGCCCGCCTTGGAAGGGGCGGCCCACACCCCGCCGCTGCCAAGGCGGCCACGTAAGGGGAGCGCGGAGCTTGGCTTTCCCCGCGTGGCCCCCGAGGACGAGGTCATTGTCAATCAGTACGTGATTCGGCCTGGCCCCTCGGCCTCCGCAGCTTCTTCAGCAGCAGTGGGTGAGCCCCTGGAGTGCCCCACCTGCGGGCACACATACAACGTCACCCAGCGGCGGCCCCGCGTGCTGTCCTGCCTGCACTCTGTGTGTGAGCAGTGCCTGCAGATTCTCTATGAGTCTTGCCCCAAGTACAAGTTCATCTCCTGCCCCACCTGCCGCCGAGAGACTGTGCTCTTCACCGACTACGGCCTGGCCGCGCTGGCTGTCAACACGTCCATCCTGAGTCGCCTGCCGCCTGAGGCGCTGACAGCCCCGTCCGGGGGTCAGTGGGGGGCCGAGCCTGAGGGCAGCTGCTACCAGACCTTCCGGCAGTACTGTGGGGCTGCCTGCACCTGCCACGTGCGGAACCCGCTGTCCGCCTGCTCCATCATGTAGTAGCACCTGCCTGCCCGCCACTGCCCGCTGAGCCTCGCTCGCTGCTTCTTCAGGGACCCGGCCCTGTTCTGCCACCCGCTGACCCTTCCTTCCCCACCATGGCTTCTGGCCCCACCCCAAGTGGCATTGTCGTTGCAGCCAACTTTGCCATTAAAACTCTGCCAAAGTTTGCACCTGTTCCCTGGACTAAAGCTTGCTCCTGTGGGCTGTACTCAGGCCTGGGCCTAGGGTGGCACCCAGGGCGACTGCCCAGACAGGGCTCACCTTGGAACTGCCAGAGAGGCCCAGTGCTGCTCGGGGTGGGCCTGCTGTGCGTGCTGGGGGCCAGGCTGGGCTGTGCATGCAGCTCAGGAGGGCTCTGTGGGCTGTGAGCATGGGTGTAGACCACAGGTGTGGAGTGGGCTGCTTGTGGGCACCTGGCAGGGCTACGTGGCAGGTGTGCAGAGCCACCCCAGCTGGGCAGAGGACATTTTTGATGGTGTGGGGGACGAGTCAGTTTATTTCCCTCCTGGTGCCTACCTGGCCCGGAGCACCCACCTGGGTCTTCCACTGTGGTGCAGGAGTAGCCTTTGGGCGTCTGTGCAGGGGTGTGGGATAAATGCTGGCTGAGATGGTGGTGGGGGAATAAGGACCCAGAGCCTCCTGTACAGGCACCTGGACCACCTGGGTGTGAGGAAGGGCCTGCCCCAGGCTGGGTGCGATGGCTCACACCTGTAATCCCAGCACTTTGGGAGGCTGAGACAGGTGAATCACCTGAGGTCACAAGTTCAGACCAGCCTGACCCACATGGTGAAACCCATCTACTAAAAATACAAACAAGTTAACTGGGCGTGGTGGCACATGCCTGTAATCCCAACTACTAGGGAGGCTGAAGCAGAATTGCTTGGACTTGGGAGGCAGAGGCTGCAGTGAGCAGAGATCATGCCACTGCATACCAGTGAGGGACAGCAGGGTACTCTGTCTCAAAAAAAAAAAAAAAAACCCCACCTGGATAGTGAGGATGGGGTAACAAAGACAAGCAGTGACAATGGCGTTCCCAGAAGCCGGTTTATTGAAAGCTGCTTTGCGTCGGAGGCCCGGTGCTTCATCTCTCAGGGTCACCCACAGACCCGGTCTCCACCCTTTCCATGAAGGCCCCAGGTGTGGCAACGTGAGGGTGTGCAGGGGTAGAGCTGGGCCTAGTGCTTACATTTTAAGGCCTGGGTGGACACTTGTCCCTGCAACACAGGCCGGTGCTGACCCCCAGCTGGTCTCAGCCTGAGCAGCTGGGGAGAAGCCTTTGCAGGTGGAGTTTTCACAGCACAGGCTCCTCCCCCAAATGGCCTGACCTTCAGGAACATGCACTGGCCCTTATCTGAACACCGGGTGGGCGGAACCCCTGCCCTCTCCAAGGAACTGACTGACTGCAGCTCTGTTAACTTTCACGTCTGCTATGCTCGGCCAGCCCTTGGAAGGGGAAGTGTGGCCAGCATCAGCCATGGCCATAGGGTGCCTGTCTGCCAAAGGGTGAGTGGGGTCCTGCTCGAAGACCTTCCTGCTGGGCTGGCTCCTCCAGCAGCTGTCCTTGGGCACTGGCGTCCAGAGCAGCCATGCACTCTGGCAGGGTCAGGCTCCTGGGTGGCCCCGGTCTTGGGTTCAGCCATGGAGGTCTTGACTGAAGGGCAGTGACCTGGACCCAACCTCAGGTTTTTCAGCCTGGTCAGGCCTCACAGCACCCAGTGGCGATGTGGGCCAGGCTGGGCCCACTGGCGTCAGGGCCGTCCTGGGCTCTGCTCAGCGGCCAGAGCGGTCCAGCAGCAGGAAGAGCAGCCCCAGCAGCACCAGCGGCATGAAGACCAGCAGCAACCCCAGCAGCTCGAGGGCCAGCAGGCTCAGCAGCGCCAGGCGGTGGGCACAGGGTCCCCGTTCCCGTAGGGTCCAGAGCCAGGCACCCAGGCAGGGTGGGCAGGGCAGGAAGGGCAGGCAGCCACGGCCGCCCACAGCCCCCACCACAAAGCGCTGCTGGTAGCGGTGCTCCAGGGAGCCCCAGGGTCCAGGGTCTTGGTGCTGGGGTACAGGGGCCTCTCGGTGGGGCTGACGTTGGGGCCCGTCGGCCAGTAGCAGCTCCTCCTGCAGCTGGCAGATCTCCCACTCCAGCATGGGGGTCTTCTGGCGGCACAGTGGGCAGCGCACCTGGCCCAGGTTGGAGCTCGGGGCCGAGCCCAACAGCCTGCGCAGGCAGCCCACACACAGGCCGTGGCTACAGTTCAACAGGGCTAGGCAATGCTCCCTGGGCCCGTAGGGCTCAGTGCAGATGGGGCACTCCTCTTCCCCCCGCCCTACTGCCTGCTCTCCCTGCTCTTCCTTCCAGGCTGGAAGGGCCCAGGCACCCTCCATGGCCACAGCCCCCAGCAGGGGCTCACTGGTGGGAGTCTCGGCATCCTGGGGGAGCCCAAAGTCATCCCTTTCACTCATTGGTGCTTGGCACAGTGGGTTCAGGCACTCAGGGCCCAGAGAGGCCTCAGGTGGACTGACAGGCCCAGAGCTGGAGTCAGCAAGGTGAAGGCTAGGGACCCCAGGGCACAGCTCAGGGGTAGTGGCCCTGGGGGAGGAGTCAGGATAGGAGGCCAGGGATCCCAGGGTGGCGACAGGTGCAGACCTCCAGGGGAAGCAGGGTCTGGGCTCCACTGGCTCTGGCACTGACCTGGCTGGCTCTCCTCACTGGATGGGAACTTCGCTGGGGCCCCAGCAAGGCTCGCCTGCTAAGTGGATCCTACGCCCATGCAATGCCGTCCCCAGCCAGATCCGGCTGCAGCCCAGCCTCAGCCACATCTAGTCCCCTGGCAGCGACCGGCTGACCACAGTAAGAGACTCCCAGGAGAGGACGGTGAGGCAGTGTGAAGGGCAGGAACCCTCCAGCGGGACTTCCCTTCCTGGTGCCTAAAGCCCCTCCCAGGGGCGGGGCTGTATCCACCACACCCCCTCCCACCACTGCTTCCGGCAGCCTCAGCTCCCAGGCAGGATGGACGGCTTAGCTCTGCCTTCCCAACACCTGCCCAAAACCCTGTCCTGACGATCAGATCTCAGCCAACCCAAGCCCTTGAGAATGAAGCAGGCAGGGCACTAGTCACACTAGAGGCAGACAGAAAAGCTGCCACTCGAGTACAGGTAGGCCAGCAGGGGTGCACCATGGCACCCACCTCCCACACCCCTACCTGATGAGCGAGAGGAAGGAAGCGGGTGGTAGAAGCAGCCACCCAGAAGCCAGCAGTTCCTGCCAGGACTTTCCTGGGACCAGGAGAGGAAGAGGCTGCTCTGGCCTGGGACCTCCCCACTGCTCTAAGGGAGCTGCTTTCTCGTGGCCTGAGCCCAGCCTCAGCCGTGTGGAGGTGATTGGAATGTGCTGCCCAGCAGGCTGCAGTGGCCGAGGTGGCCCCAGGGTGGAGGAGTGCAGTGCAGCCTTATGGGGGCCCTGTGCTGCCCCCAGTGCCCAGTGGGCTGCTCACACCATCCTGGACCACTGCACCAGTGAAGTGGAACGGCCCAGGCCACGACCTTGACCAGGAAGAGGGTGGGGGAGAATGAGGACACAGCTCAGGGTCAGGGTGGGGGAGGGGAGGGCTGGCTGGCAGAGGCTGCAGTGGAGTCAGGGCTCAAAGGGTGGGACCCAGGGTCGACGAGCGTGTAACTGTGCTCAGAAGCTGGCTGTTGCCCCAACCAGCTGGGACCTGGAAGCGCCACCCCTGGTCCAAGAGGACAATGCCTTCCTGGGCTCCCAGGAGGATCACAGGCAGCCAAGGGGCTCAGGCCCACGTCTCAGTCTGAAGGCGCCGTGTGCGCTGGAGCCTGGCTAGATAGGCAGCGGCGTCGGAACTGCAGAGTCCGCCCTCCTCCTCGAAGATGGACACCAGGGCTTCTGAGACATCCGCTGGCATGGACTTGGCATTGCTAGAGGGGCGGTTGCAGAAGGCGCGTGAGACTGGCCCTAGGGCTGGGCCCACTCCCGCTGAACCTGAGACTGCTCACCCTGCCAGGTAGAAGTGTGCACCCTGGCGGTCCAGCAGCTCCCACACGAGTGGCCCCCGCTCCCGGAGCCGGTGCTGCACATACACTTTCTGCTCCTGCAGGGCAGAGGGCAGGGTGGGGCTGACTGTGAGCCCCTCCCCTCCTTTCCAGCCCCCAAGCATACACACCCACCTGTTCCCGGGAGAAGGCAGAGACCAGGGTCAGGCAGCCCCGCTTCTCCAGCTCCTGCCACTCCGCCTCCCAGTAGAAGTCTTGGTCCCGCCAGCGGCAGCCAAAAAACAAGACATTTCCTGGGGGAATGCAGGGTGGTCCTTGAACTTCTGCTGGAAGCCCCCACCACAACCCTACCCCGGGACTCCAGGCACTCACTGGTCCGATCCTGGGCCACACGCTCCTGGATGGCTGCTCGGAAGGGGGCTACCCCGGTGCCAGGCCCCACCATGATCACGGGCACGTCTGGCATCTCTGGGAAGGCCAGACTCCCAGGCTGCACCCAGAGGGGCACCCGGACAGGTCCTATTGCAGGAGGAAGGTGGTATGAAGAGGGTCAAACGCGGCTCGGAGTCTGCTGTGGCCCTAGCCGAACATCTGTGTGGGCATGAGAGAGAAGGGGACACCAGGCCACGGCCCCCACCCTGGAAGCAGAGGTCACCTTGCCCAGGGTCCAGGGATGCCAGCCAGGAGGAGCAGAGGCCCCGACGGGGCTCCTTGAGGCGAGTCTGGAACTGCACTACAGCCACGAGGATCTGCAGCCTTGAGGGGTGAGTCTGGGGAGGACAGTTGAGGGGGTGAGCCTGGGGAGGATGGTGGGGAAGGGGTGAGCCTGGGGAGGACAGTGGGGAGGGGGTGAGCCTGGGGAGGACAGTGCGGGGGGTGAGCCTAGGGAGGACGGTGAGTGGGGGTGAGCCTTGGGAGGATGCTGAGGGGGTGGTGAGCCAGGGGAGGATGGTGGGGAGTGGGTGAGCCTGGGGAGGACGGTGGGGAGTAGGTGAGCCTGGGAAGGATGGTGGGGAGGGGAGGTAAGCCTGGGGAGGACGGTAGGGTGGGAGTGGTGGCACAAGGCTGCCCGGACCTGCTGCCTGGGCTGTGAGCCCTAGCCACTTCACCCAGGGGCGGTCCTGGGTAGGGGACCGTCACCTGGTCAGAGCACAGCTTCTGCCCACAGAGCCCCGTCCCAGCTTTCCTGGGGCCCCTCACCAGCATCGAGGAGGCGATGGAGAAGGCTCTCGGCCGGATAGCGGGGATGAGGTCCAGCAGGTAGTCCGGGGGGATGGCGGCGGCTGTGTGTGGGAAGTCACACAGCACCTGGGCAGAGAGAGTCTCGGAGTGGCTGCAGTGTGGCCCTGGCTCAGGGGTTGGGCCCCACCGGCCCCACTGGCCTTCCTCACCTCCACAATGGTCCTTCGGGGCCGGTTGCAGTATTCAAAGAGCTCCTCCTGGCCTTGGGCAGAGCTGAACTCCAGCAGCTTCTCCCGCTCCAGCTCATGGAGGGACAGACAGGCCAGAAGCTCAAAGAAGGAGCGGCGAGGCACGCTGGCGATGTCCAGGTACTGGGACACGAGGTGCTGCATGGAGCAGGGCTGGGGCAGCCTTGTGGGTGGGAGGACATCTGCAGGGTGAGTAGGAGGCCTCCGTGGGCTGCGGCAGGGCCCTCGGGGTGGGGACCCAGGACATGGGGGAGGGCAGAGAGTCAGGCTGGCTGAGGCTGGGTTCACCTGGCTCCCGTGGCTGCAGTGTGAAGAGCTGGTCAGGGTCCAGGCCCAGCGCCTGGCAGAACTGCTGGACGTGGGCAGCCGAGTTGGAGGGCTGAATCAGCACCACATCCCCGGCAGCGAAGCTGTGAGGAGAAGCCACCAGGGGCCCTGGATGGAGGCCATCCCCTGCAGCCCAGCCCAGCCTCCTCTGAACCCTAGCAGTCCCCGCCACCACCTGGTGTTTCGGGTCTCACCTGATTGCAGAGCCTGAGATGTCAAACTCAATCAGCCGAACATCCTGGAAGTGGGAGGGGCCGGTGACTCTCTCGTTGGAGATCATGGGTGCCAGGAAGGGGTGCGACTCCGATGGGGGCTCTCTGGAGCCAGGGTGAGCCACTTGCTGCCCCTCAGAGCCCACACTGGGCACCTCGTGGAGGAACAGCAGGCTGAACTTGGAGGGCAGGCTGAGGGAGGCATGCTCTTCAGACCAGAAATCCCCCGAACCAGGGGCCGCCCACCCACATGGGAGGGACCCAGGCGAGGTCCCCAGGCCACCTGTGGGTGACCTGGGGCCCACACTCACGGGACTCCAGGAGGGATCTCGTCGAGGCCTGGAGGCAGCGGGCACAGCCCCAGAACCTTGCCCCACAAGTCTTGCAGCCAAGGGTCCACAGCAGCATCGGGCCTGGGAGGGAGCATGTGTGCCAGCCTGAGTGGACCTCACGCATGGCCAGGTCAGACCATGGCAGTGGGGCCAGCCCTGAAGACTCACCCCAGCTCATGCTGGTCGTCGCCCAGGCACACGGGCAGGAGGGCACTGCCACCAAGCTGCAGGAGCCGTCGGTGCAGCTTCTTGGCCACAAAATTGAACCTGTGGAGACAGCAAGGCTAGTCCCGGGCTGGAGCCCGGCAGAGTGGAACCCAGGCAGGGACTTCCTTGGGTGGAAACACTCCATGCTGGCTGCGCCCTAGGAGGGGACAGGGTCTCCACACGCCAGGGGCTGCTGAGGTCCTCTGCTCATGGAGAACCAGCCTGTGTGGGCGGAGGCGTGTGACCTTATCCCACTGATGGGCCCTCATCTCTGGACAGGGAGTTGAGGTCTGGAGGCCCCCAGCCAAGGTGTGGGTCACTCCTCAGCGAAGAAGCTCCAGGCTGGGGAGAGGGCCAGCATCTTCCCAGGGGTCAGTTTCGCTTCTCACTCTGGTTCTGAGGCATGACTGGCCCCAGGTCCCGCTCCTCCCTGGGAATGATGTCAGCAGACAGGCGCCCTCCCTCGCCTGAAGAAATATATCACGCACAGAACGGGTAGGCTGCCGCGCCTTCCCGTTTTCTTTCATCTGAAGCAATGAGACCCGCTACGCACATGGCTTTTGAGGCTTGGTGCTTGTGGACCTGGGCCCTACATGGACAGTCGGAGGTTTCAACACTGCGGGGTCTAAAGATACCATTTGCACACTGAACACGCTACTCCTTGCTCAGGGGCAGGTGAGCACTGTGAAATGCCCAGGGGAAAAGGCAGAGGCAGCCACTAGGAAAGTAGGTCACAGGGCCCACCTCCATGCTGAGTCGTGAACACCCATGGCACACGTGTTTGTAACAGTGGGGACTGGTGCCAGGTAGGTTTCTGTGATGTCAGTGTGGCTCTGAGCCCAGCCCTCTGCCACCCTGCCTGCTTCCCTCTGCCCTCCCACAGTGTGAGGCCCGGGGCACCTGCCAGGGAGTATCGTGGAGAAGCCAGTGCTGCTACAAGGACCCTGTGGCCAGCAGGGCTGACCCTGAAAGCTGGTCTGGCAGCTGGACCCCCAGACTGTCCTGTCCTGTACTCACTTGGCATATGAGGAGTCCCCGAGGCCCAGGACGGCAAAGTCCATCTGACAGAGGGCAGTGGAGGGCAGGTTCTTCCGAAATATGAACCTCCAGAAGTTCTGCAGCCGGAGGAAACCCTGCATCAGTCCCCAACCTCTGGGCCAGCCCCACAGCAGGGAGTGAGGGGAGAGTCTCAGGGGAATAGGGAGAGGGCAGGAAGGGGCAGAATGGAACTGGATCTATCTGATGACGAAAAGGCAAGGTGAGCCAGCAGGGTGAGGGGCACTGGGAGGAAGCACAGCTGGTGCAGGACCTGAGGAGACCAGGGCCCACCCTGCCCACAGGAGCTAGATAGCCTGCTGCACACTCTGGACTGTGTGGGGCTCCCTTCCTGGAATGTCACCCTCCCCTGCCCCCGGCTCTGAGCCGCCACAAACAGCTCTGCACTCACTCCTCAAACTGTGTACCTCCACAGGAGTACCTCACCACCCGTCACATCCCATGGGCCTCCACTGCCCAAATGGGTCCATCCCAGAGACCCCCACACCCAGACTTCTGAGGTCCATCCCAGACACCCCGACACCCAGACCTCTGAGGTCTATCCCAGAGACTCCCACACTGAGACCTCTGCAGTCCATCCCAGACCCCCACACCCAGATCAGAGGTCCCAGAGTCTCTGGAACTCTGGGACACAGCCCCTTTCTTCTGTGGCCGAGGTCCGTGTCTCTGGGACCCATCTCCTTCTTTCCGTGGCTGAGGTCCCTGTCTCTGGGACCCATTCCCTTCCTTCCATGACCGAGATCTGTGTCTCTGGGACACACCTCCTTCCTTCCGTGGCTGCGGTCCGTGTCTCTGGGACACATCCCCTTCCTTCCGTGGCTGTAGGACCTTGAGCCAACAGTGATCAGATCATCCTGTTCCACAACCTGCCTTCCATGGTGGCCTCTAGGCTTGATAGGAGGCCCCTCCACAAGGAGCCTGCTGCCCCTCACCTGCATCCCAGGTGGCCTGTCTGTGTGGTCTTCACGGACCACCCACCTCCCCAACCCATGGCCAAGCATGGAGGCCAGAGTAGAGGCTCTGGCTTTGTCAGCCCACAGCTTTGACCCTGGCCCTGGACCACTCCTGGCCTCCTGGGACCTCACCACCTCATCAGCTGCCTCACTGGGTCAAGCTGTGCAAGCCTCTTGACAAGAGCCCGCCCCCGCCGCAGCCTCTTGCCCCAGACCACCCCGCCCCCGCCGCAGGGCCCCTGCTGGTGAGACACTCTTGCTTCCTGAATCCCAAAGGGCTTTTCCCTGCTTTGTTTGGGGAACTTCCTCCTTCCTGAGAAAAGGGTTCAGGAGAGAGCATTGCTGTGACTTTTCCCTCACAACTGGCAAGCAGCTCAGTTTATCCTGGGCTTGGCACCACTGCTGAAAAGCTAGGGTCCCACTTGCCACCCTTGGGGTGTGTAAGGCACTCTGTCCCCAGCAGCTAAACCCACAGTGACATGCCCGGGGATAGCTTGTTCATTCTCAGCAGGGCCCTTCCTGGGCACGGGGCTCTCCGGCTGCAGACCTGCTCTGGACATCTTGTTACTTTACCGGATAACTTCCTCTCTACTGTTGTCTTCTCATTCTGAGGACACTGGAATGATCTTTTAATTTTGGTATCCGCTTCCTTCCATTTTCTACCTTGATTTTTATTATACTTTCTACAAGGGCTTCTCATCTTTTTTTGAGATGGAGCTTCACTCTGTGGCCCAGGCTGGAGGGCAATGGCGAGACCTCAGCCACTGCAACCTCTGCCTCCCAGGTTCAAGTGATTCTCCTGCCTCTGCCTCCTGAATAGCTGAGATACAGGTGCACACCACCATGCCTGACTAACTTTTGAATTTTTAGTAGAGACAAGGTTTCACCACAAGGTTGGCCAGACTGGTCTTGAACTCCTGACATCAAGTGATTCACCCACCTCAGCCTCCCAAAGTGCTGGGATTACAGGTGTGAACCGCCAGGCCTGGCCTGAACTGTTTTCTACTGTTCACACAAGCCAAGTCACCTTTCTCTTCTACACAGACTGCTTCTTCTTCCTTGGGGCCTGGCTAGCCCTCACGCATCCTTCAGTGACTCAGCTTACACTTTTTTCTTCTGGAAACCTCTGCCTGGGCCCCAAGGCTGGGCTAGAAAAGGCTTGATGCCCCTTATCAGTGCTCCCACGACATCTGCACCTCTTCCCAGCACAGGTGTTTCCCGGCCCTGTGACTGCCCATTAGCTGCTTCTGCCACAGTGCGAACTCTGTGAGGATGAAAGTACTGGGTTCACAGGCTGTGCCAGGAAGATAGTATGTGCTGAAAAAGATGGTCAGAGAATTAACATCCCCTGAGGGTCATGCAGTCCAGAGAAGTGCACAAGACCCAAACTAGATGCACACATGGCCCTGAAAAAATAAGAAAGGTTAAAATGGATAACGCTATTTGGTGGCCATAAAGAGTTTATTAGAGAGGACAACCAAAGCCCCCAACTCCACGCAAGGACGTCCTCTCAAATCCACCTCTGAAACTGCATCAGATGGAGGAGGAGAGCTATTTACTGCACCTGGAACCCAGGCAATGAAAACGGGGCGAGAGGCGAGGGCAGAGATCTGAGGAGCCACATGAGGCCAGCCTTACCTTCATGTTGTCAGGTGGGTCTCCTTGGCCTGTAGTTGCACAAACAAATATCACCAGGGGCTCATGAATCAGATTCACCTCAACAAAAAGACACACACACATAAGACCTCTGGCTGGAAGCACCGGGCGGCCTTCCCAAAACCCGACTCCCCTCTCCTTCGCTCAGGCTGACACGGCAGAGGGATTTATGTAGGCTGCCAGACCGTCTTCTCTCTTTCAGGCTCCAACCTCCTCCCCTTCTCCTAAATCCGCCATAAGGGAAGGACCCGCTCTCAGACTAAATGCGACGCCTTTTGAGTCGATGACCCCGAGGGGCGGGCACCCCAGGCCTGCTAGTCCCCCCGCCGAGGCCCCCGCGAGCCCTCACCACCGGGTAGGAGTCCAGGGCCTGCACCTGGCAGCCAAGCCGCCGGCGCCGGGCTTCGCGACCCAACCTCTCCGACACATCCTGAGCCGTGCCTGTCTGGCTGCCGAAGAGCACTAGAAGCTGCGGGACCGGCATCGCGGCGCGCCCGGGGACTCCTAGTCGGAGACTAAGGACTAGGAGGCAGTTCCCGCCGGCAGGGCTGCAGGGACCACTCCGCCTCCCGCTGTCGGCCGGAAGTGACGCAGTAGGGACGCGCCCGGCGGGGCATGGCGACCGAGCGAGGTGGGCGTCCGCGAGCGGCCAGTGTTGAGTCCCGAGCCGGGGCCGGGATATTGGCGGCGATCCAGGGCCGAGGGCTGGGGCTGGCGGGGACGCTCACCGCGTCTCGCTCGCAGCAGCGGCGGCACGCGCGGGCGAGGGCCACGGGGAGAGGAGACGCAGCTCCGCGGGTGGCACGTTCGGCCGGGCCCCGGCCCGCGCTCAACGGGCGCGATGCTTTTCTCGCTCCGGGAGCTGGTGCAGTGGCTGGGCTTCGCCACCTTCGAGATCTTCGTGCACCTGCTAGCCCTGTTGGTGTTCTCCGTGCTGCTGGCACTGCGTGTGGATGGCCTGGTACCCGGCCTCTCCTGGTGGAACGTGTTCGTGCCTTTCTTCGCCGCTGACGGGCTTAGCACCTACTTCACCACCATCGTGTCCGTCCGCCTCTTCCAGGACGGAGAGAAGCGGCTGGCGGTGCTCCGCCTTTTCTGGGTCCTCACGGTCCTGAGTCTCAAGTTCGTTTTCGAGATGCTGTTGTGCCAGAAGCTAGCGGAGCAGACTCGGGAGCTCTGGTTCGGCCTCATCACGTCCCCGGTCTTCATTCTCCTGCAGCTGCTCATGATCCGCGCCTGTCGGGTCAACTAGCCTCTTCGAGGTGCCGGAGAGAGAGCGCTGGACGGCTGAAATGCTGACCTCAAGCCGAGCTCCTACTTGCGCTGCACCGGAGGAGAGGTTCTTTAGTCGGAAGGCAACTCCTGCTTGCGCCGAGCCGAGTGCCAGGTTTTTCTATTCCAATCATGTCTGAAATGGTTTCTGCAGCAGGGCTTAAAAGAGGAGCCTTCATCCTTAAAATGTATTTCCTTTTATTTCATGCTTTGAGTAGGTAATCCTGAATTGTCCTGAGGAGGGCCCCAGGCCAGACAGTCCTGAACTCCTCTGACACTCGGAAACTGAATATAAGTCAAATGTCCAGGTGGACTCTAAGTATTTCCTGTGGGTCCTGGGTAAGTACTGCTGCACAAAGGCTGCAAAGCTGGACTCAGGGATGTCCTGCAACCAGCAGCTCTGACTGAAGAGCTCCCTGCACCGTCCATCCGAACCAGACTTTAATAGATGTGTTCTTCAGATCTATCAAATGTAAACGAGCTTGTATCTCCTCCCCTGTGCCACAAGAGAGGTTGGCTCTTTGTTTCAGTCTAGGCAGAGACAGAACGTTGAATGAGAGCACAATTAGGGTCTTGTCTGGTTATCTGTTGCCCAAGAAAAGAACTCTGCTGTCCAGGCGCTGCTTGGCTTCCTATCCCAGCAGACTGCAGTTTTATGGACTTTTTCACTACCTTGTGGCTGGCACCGTTAGCACACCTGAGACAGATTTAGGCATCGAGACCTACAAATGGCAAGCTTGTGAGTGGCCCAGCTTTGTTGGCCTACAAACTTTGGTTTGATGGCACTCAGGTGTCAAATGAGAACCTTTGCTGAGATGCAAATAAAGTAAGAGAATGTTTTCCTGAAATGAATAGTGTTTGGCTGTGCCTCTGAAGGGTTAAATTGGGTGAATGTTGAGATACTCCCGCTACATGGTATAACTGGAGACAGAGCTGTGGTTTTCGATGGATTGAAACCTGTGGCCAGAGCTTAGTGGATGGTGGTGGTGGGAATTGCTTGTTCTGGAGAATCCTTCCTGCTCTTGGAGGCAGGTAATTCAGGCACCCACCACCCCCCAGGTGAAGACAACACTCTGGGCCCATGTTGAAGATTTGTTGAATAGTTTGTGATCGCAGAGCCCATGGCTTTTTGCCAGTGTGTGGTCTTTGTGGCCTTGTTGGCACTCGGTAGAGCAGGGACCAGCAAACAGTGTCCTAAGGCCTGTTTTTGTATGACCCTTGAGCTGAGGATGGTTTTTATACCCCTAAAGAATTAAAAGCAAAAGCAAAACGTGTGACAGAGTGAATGTGACCATCAGAGTCCTAGGTCTCTTAATCGGCACTCTTGGCCTTTGAGGCCAGAAGATTCTTTAGTGAGGATGCAGGCTGTTTCGCAGTGCCCCTCCCTGCCTCTTGTGGGTAGATGCCAGTAGCAACCATCATTTGTGACAATCAGATGTTTATCCAGACATTGCCAAGGGCCCTGGGGGACAAAATTGTACCTGGCAAAAACCAGTGGGCTAAGATATTTCCTATCTGGGGCCAGGTGTGGCTGATATTTGTAATCCCAGCACTTTGGGAGGCAGAGGTGGGTAGATCACCAGGTCAGGAGTTTGAGACCGGCCTGACCAACATGGTGAAACCCCATCTTTACCAAAAATACAAAATTAGCCAGGCGTGGTGGTGTGTGCGTGTAATCTCTGCTACTTAAGAGGCTGAGGCGGGAGAATAGCTTGAACCTGGGAGGCAGAGGTTGCAGTGAGCTGCAATCCCGCCACTGCACTCCAGCCTGGGTGACGGAGCAAGACTTCATCTCAAAAAAAAAAAAAAATTCCTGTCTGGCTCGTTACAGAACAGGCGCACTGGCCTTTGCTCTCATGCATCAGCATGGCGAGCAGAATACGGTGTCAGCCTCTGTCTGGCGTGGATGCCTGACTGTGTAAACCATGGAGGGACTCTTATTGGAGGTGTTGCAGGCAACTTGTCTGGTTTGTTGCACGGCCTCAGCAATGTTTCCTGCCTGGAATTGGCATAACTGATGTCAAAGCCAGAATCAAGCTGAACAGTGGGAGTGAGTTTCTTCGTATTGTTATTTATCATTATTTTTAAATTTTTTAATAAAGACGGGGTTTCACCATGTTTGCCAGGCTGGTCTTGAACTTCTGACCTCAGGTGATCCGCCCACCTTGGCCTCCAAAGTGCTTGGATTACAAGCGTGAGCCACCACATCTGGCCCACGTAATGTTATTTATTTCTAGGTTTTGTGTTTTATGTGTTCCCCTGTTTTATTTTGGTAGTTCAGAATTGGGCAACCCTATTAGTGTAGAAGTGATGAACATCAGACACTTCCTTCTTAGAAAGTGATTGGAGGAGGACTGTAAGGGAGGAGACACTCGGCTTCTGGAAGGCTGAAATGAAAGTTTATTATGGCCGGGTGCAGTGACTTACGCCTGTAATCCCAGCACTTTGGGAGGCTGCGGCAGGTGGATCACAAGGTCAGGAGTTCGAGACCAGCCTGGCCAACATGGTGAAACCCCATCTCTACTAAAAATACAAAAATTAACCGGATGTGATGGTGGGCACCTGTAATCCCAGCTACTCGGGAGGCTGAGGCAGGAGAATCGCTTGAGCTTGGGAGGTGGAGGTTGCAGTGAGCCGAGATCGCACCACTCACTGCACTCCAGCCTGGGCCACAAGAACAGGACTCCTTCTCAAAAAAAAAAAAAAAAGAAAAAGAAAGTGAAAGTTTATTTTATCCAGGTTAATGGAGTGGCGGGAGAATAACGCAGCATTAAGGAAGTGGTGGTGCAGATGTTATGGGGCACAGAAGCTGAGAAGGCCATCCCCAGGTTAAAAAAAAAAACCTTCTCCGCGTCTTTGCAGAGACCCGGGTGACCTTGGAACCCTGTCCCTGAAAGGAAAGTGGTGTGGGAAACAGCAGTGTCAACTTGAGCAGGCTGCTGACTGCAGGGCAGGTGATAGAAAGTGCAGTTCGTGCACTGCAATCCCCCTTCTCCCAATGGCTCCAAGCGATCTGCCTATTGTCTGCAGGCTGGAAAGACTGTGGGAGCATTCCACAGCCCTTCCTGGGGCGGAAGCCTTGGGCTTCGTGAGGACTTGTCAGCCTGGAGGCTGTGCCCTCAGGGTCATGGCATCCCAAGCCTTCGGATGGGGAGAAGTTCAACAGATGAGAGGAGTGGCCTTAACGTGGCCGCAGGGTGGAGTGATCAGACACACGGGCGGGCTCTGTGAGGCCCACCGTTACCCTGGCTTTTTTGGCTGTTTCTGCATGGGAGAGCTGTCCAAGCATGCAGAGCCCTGGTGAGCCTGCTTGGGTTCGCGGGGGCGGGGGAGAGGGTACTTCCTTTGTGCCTACTCCTGCAGATGCTTTGGTTTGGGGGGATCACGGATGGCAAGGCTGGGTTAAGAGGCTCCCACCTGGGCAGCCTATGAGAAACTGATTCGCTGGGGCTGGGCGGGGCTCCTGAATTGGTATTTCCAAACCCCGCAGGCACCTGCCGGAGGTCGGAGGACCACTGGTGAAAGCAGGGTCCGGGCCATTGTGTGGCTTGTGCACGGTCCACGGGCGCGGATGCCTTCGGTCCTGGAGCAGCCCTCTTCCTGCACCGCGCTCTCAGCGGAGGGAACAGGCGGCCTGGGTGCTGGCCGCGTAAGGAAGCCCAAGTTCGCCCAAGGTCACTCGGGGCGTGGGGCCCAAGGGCCACCCACCCTGCTCCGCCCGGGATGCCGGGAGCCGAGAGCTAAGACGCGGAAGTGGCCACTGAGCGGTGCGAGGCGCCGGGGCGTGTCCCAGAGGCCTTCCCCGATGGGGGCGGCTCCGATGACAGGCGTCGTCCAGTGAGGTCCCTTGGGAGGCGGGGTTGAGGCGAGTGTTGTCCAATCGGTGGGGTCACCCACGGGCCCGCCCTCCTCCCCTGCCATAGGTGGGCCTCCCGCGTGGGGCGGGGCGAGCCGGCCTCCCCCAATGGGCGGCTGCCCGGGAGGGGGCGTGGCCGCGGTGCCCGGGCCTGCAGCGGCGGCGGCGGCCCCTCCGGCCCTCAGTCCCGCGGTTCGCGGCCGCGTCCACAGCATGGCCGCCCTGGGGCGGCCGGGCCCGGGGCCGCGCTCCGCACTGCCCGCCTGGAAGCGCGAGATCCTGGAGCGGAAGCGGGCCAAGCTGGTCGCGCTGGGCGGGGGTGCGGGGCCCGGGGCGGCGGAGCCCGAGCAGCGGGTGCTGGCGGAGAGCCTGGGCCCGCTGCGCGAGAACCCGTTCATGCGGCTGGAGGCCGAGCGGCGGCGCGGCGCGGGCGCGTCGGGGGCGCGGCTGCTGGAGCGGTACAACCGCGTGCCGGGCGTACGCGCCCTCCGCGCCGACAGCGTCCTTATCATCGAGACGGTGCCCGGCTTTCCGCCCGCGCCGCCCGCTGCGGGGGCGGCGCAGATTCGCGCCGCCGAGGTGCTGGTGTACGGGGCGCCGCCCGGCCGCGTCAGCCGCCTGCTAGAGAGGTTCGACCCGCCCGCCGCGCCGCGCCGCCGCGGGAGCCCCGAGCGCGCCCGCCCCACGCCGCCGCCGCTGGCGCCGCCCCGGCCCCCGCCCGCGGCCCCCAGCCTGCCCGCCGCGCCCGGGCCCTGCAGTGGCGGGGCAAGCCCCGGGGCCCGGCGCAGCGACTTCCTGCAAAAGACCGGGAGCAACTCCTTCACCGTCCACCCGCGGGGTCTGCACCGCGAAGCGGGCGCCCGCCTGCTCTCCAACGGGCCCTCGGCCGCTCAGTCCCGGGCCAGCCCTGCCAACGGCCTCGCGGGCTCCCCGCCCGGGTCAGGACAGTGGAAGCCAAAGGTGGAGCCGGGGGATCCCTCCCTCCACCCGCCCCCCAGCCCCAGGATCCCGAGTGCCACTCCAGCCGCGCCCCCTGCCAGTGCCACTCCCAACCAGCGCCAGTGCGTCTCTGCGGCCACCAGCGCCAACGACTCCTTCGAGATACGGCCGGCACCCAAGCCAGACGTGGAGACCATCCCCTCGGGGGACCTCCAGGCCCGGGCGCTGGCCAGCCTCCGCGCAAACTCTCGAAATTCCTTCCTATTTATCCCCAAGAGCAAGGCCTCCGGGGCCCCTCCTGCTGAGGGGAGGCAGTCCGCGGAGCTGCCAAAGGGAGGCGTGGGCCGGAGCACCCCGAGCCAGGAGCTCGGAGCCCAGCTGGTTCCTGGAGGGGGTGGTTCTCCTGCCCTGGTGAAGAGCCCCCTGGAGGTCGAGGCAAAATGGGCAGTCGATGAGGGGCCCTGTCCAAGGGCAGCCACCGCCCTCTCTGACCGAGCTGTCAGGTGGCAGAGGCCGTCCTCACCGCCCCCCTTCCTGCCTGCTGCTTCGAAAGAAGCTGAGCCTGCCGAAGGCTTCAGTGTTCCTGGCTTGGCCAAGAATAACCGGGAACACGGGAGGCCGGGGCTGCCTGTCACCTTCATTGATGAGGTAGACTCAGAGGAGGAGGCCCCCCAAGAAGCCAAACTACCCTACTCCACGAACCCTGCCAGGCCCGGATGTGTGGCGGAGCTCCAGCCGAGAGGCAGCAATACCTTCACAGTGGTGCCCAAGAGGAAGCCAGGGCCCCTGCAGGAGCAGCACTTGAGTCAGGCCAATGGGGGCCCCCGGCCACGGCAGGCTGAGGAAGAGGAGGGTGATGGCCTCCTGGGGCCCACGCTGAAGAAGCGCTACCCCGCGGTGCATGAGATTGAGGTGATTGGCGGCTACCTGGCCCTGCAGAAGTCCTGCCTCACCAAGGCTGGCTCCTCAAGAAAGAAGGTCAGTGGTGGGGGCAGGGCCACTGGCCAGGAGGGAGAGAGACAGCTCACAGAGCTGTGGGGGCACAGCATCTGC